TCAGGTAAAACTTTGGTTGCTACATTATGGCAAAGCTCCCCAGGATCCATGACATCAGATTTCTAGGTGTAGTCCTTGGAGCAGCAGCATTAACGTCACCTGGGAAGGTGTGAGAACTTCAATTCTCGGTTTCACCCCAGGCCCAGGGAGTCCGACGCTCTGGGGTTGGAGGCCAGCAACGTGTGTTCTAACAAGCCCTCCAAATGATTCTGATGCTCTGAAGTTTGGGAACAACCGGTGCACGGGGCGGGTGCCTGGGTAAGAGACTGTGTGAGTGGGGGAGAGCAGAGCTTCTGAAAAGGGAAGGGGGTGGAGACACTTTGTGTTCAACTTCTTGTCTGTTTTGGGTACTTTGAAAGGACCCTACTGTCCTTTCATCAGTAATTAAATTCCCTTATGTGTCATTGTACCATTAGTGCCTTTGGCTCTGCCTTTAAAAAAAAAAGTGAGCTAATATGGCCTCTCATGTCAGACTTGTAAACGTGTTTGACTTCCAGATTGAGTTAGAACATGCTTAAATATAATAATAGTTAAAGTGGAGATATGTTATCAAACTGAATACTAGAGTCTTTAATATCCTGAACACCTTTTTAGAAGATATAATATTTATTTCTTGATGCCTGTAAATTATACAAATAACTTTAATGCTTTCATTATTCCCACTTATTAAAAATAACCAAATGTTAAGAAGACTATTAACTCCAAATAGTTTATTCTGATGTATTGTTGGTGTACAGACTGCTGATTAGCTTAATATTTGAAGTCAGGATAATAAGTATAAGATCTTGTGAAAGTGTCTGCAACGTCAAGGTTGCTTCTGGTGGGGATAGCCAGCTGATAGTTTAGTATGTAAGATCCAAAAAGTGTTTCATGAACTCAGGTTAAACCAAGGCATGCATTAATATTTACAGAGGTTTAATCCAAAGGATAGGACAGAGAAGAAATACCGATGCTTGGCAAAAACTTGAGTGACAGGACAGACAGGAGGGACAATCTGGAGCCAGTGTGATTGGTGTGGGTTTTTGTGGCATCAGGACTGGGGACGGATCTATCACCCAGAACTGTGGGTAATATCAAGACCCAAGGAATGAACAGAGCAGAGATTATCACGAAAATCCAAGAGTGATAGGAATACCTGAAATGTTATAAAAAATAATGCTGGTCTTTATTAAGTGCTTTTATTTATTTTTTTAATTAAATTTTTATTTTTTGTTCAAATACATTTGCCTCCACCTTTCCACCACCGCTTTCCCCTGCCCTCAATTAAGTGCTTTTAAAAAGGGTGCTAAAACAACATTGCAAATGCACAGTAATTGAGTAACCCTTTTTGGTGTTTTATAATATCCATTTCTGTCAATAATTTCAGTATTAGTTACTGCAATATTTAATGCTACATCATATAAGCGGTTTGCTAAAATGCATCATGGGTATGTGTGGTGACTTTAAAATATGTTCACAAATTCTTTGACACTCCTCCTTTCAGAAGATGAAGCCTAATTTCTCTCACCTTGAGTGTGGGCCAGCTTAATGCCTCACTCGCGGTGAATGGGACAAAGCTGAGGCGATGGATGGCGTGCTACTTTGGAGAGTGGTCAGAAAAATGCCGTGACTTCCTCCTCTTAATCTCTGTCTTTGACCTTTTAGTCTGAGGGAAGGTAGCTGCCAAGTCATGAGAAAAGGCACACATGTGATCACTTCTGTAACTGCCATTTCCATTTTTTTTCCTCACATCTTGAGCAGACTTGAGGGCTATGCCTAGCAATCCAAGGATTTCTTTTTCTGCTTGTATATATTGTTTTTTTTTTAAAGTAGGAACTTCATTGTCTAATGGTTTCCCAAGCACAGAATATAAACTTGAAAGAAGAGATATATTCTCTAGTGAAGAATTATTTTGTTTACAAATGAATAGGAACTAGTGCTTTGTCCTGGCAGCAAGGCTACTTTTTGTTAAATATTTTGTGTTTCCTCTTCTGCAGATTTCACACATTGCGCAAATATTTGTGGCGTGCCTTCCAAGTACATGGGGCAACGATGTGCTGCCGGATGACTAATGCTAGGTATGGTTTCAACTTCCTAATTTCATGTACATGTTATTTTCCTCTTTATCACTTTGGTACTTCCCATCTAATGACATTATTATACATATGTTATAAGCATATTATAAAAATAAAACCCAGAGTTTTATTTAGTAGGAAACTTAGCCTTCACTTGATTTGTCATCCTTGGTGTCACAAGCATATGACCATGATACAACCCTTCCTCTAAGTCAACGGGACTACTGCTTGGCTCGCTGCCTGCTGAGCAGGCTGGCACCAAGGAATAGACAAGAGTCACACACAATAACTATGCCATTCACTCAGCTTTTATTGAATGGGGGTTCTCTCAAAGTAGAACATCAACATAAATTAGTAACCTACTCACACTCTAACAATCTAAGAGGAATATAACATACACACACCAATCAGTGGGGGATAATGAAGTCCCAACGTCTCAGCCTGCAGGTCCGGGAGACAGCGTGTTGGGCAAGGGAGCCACGAGCGTCTTGCAAGGAAGGACCTCTGGAGCGAGGTGGGCAGCAGGGCAGGCGAAGTCCTCAGCCCAGCAGGGCACAGCCTGTGGTGGCCAATGCCAAGGGAGATTAGTGTGGCGTGGAGCAGCGCTCTGGTGTGTGGAGCTCAGCTGTCTTGGCAGTGGACTGGAACCTGCCTCAGTTATACCTTGAAGAGGTGTCCTCCACCCTTCTGGGTCTTTTGATAAATGTCTTGGCATCCCTGATGCCAAGTGGGGAATTTGCCCAGGAACCTAGGGGTGGTACATGCTCTTCTGCTTGACACCCCTGATGTAACAGAACCACTGGGTTCTATTGCTCTGGGTTCTATTGTTCGCCGCTGATAAGAACCATGACTGCCAATGCCAGAGTCTTATGAAAAGGAAAGGAACTATTTATTCAAAAGTTATACAAGTTTAGAATAATGGCGGAATTCTGCTGTTAAATCCCACACTCTTCAAAAACAAAACAAAACAAAAAGAACGCTATAAACACACACACAGTCCTGTCCATCCCCCCTTGCCAAACCAGCCAGTCAGAGGTACTGTCTCTCGGGAAAAGAAATAGAAATCTGTAGCTTAGCTGGGCAGATTCCCGTCTGTATTCCAGGTTCTTCCAGTTGTCCCTGCTCAGCTAGCTAGGCTCCTGCTCTTAATCCAAACCCGCATCCTCATGGTAGGCTTGTGGGGGATCCCTCTGCATCCTTTCAAACCCCGTGGCCAAGACCCTGCCCTGCTGCTACATGGTCAAGAGGCTTCTCCTTCCCCAGCCACATGGTCAAGAGGGCAACAGCTTCCCTGCACCTGACTTTAAATCGCAGCACGGATCTCCCTCTGTCACCCCATTTCTGACTCCTCACACACTGGGTTACATCTTCCAGGAGTCCGTCTTCTTCTGCCTTTCTTGGTTGCCATTGTTGGTCTGGGCAGGCGAGGCCCCCTGACATAGAGCTAACTGCTGTCCCGCTCTCGTGCAGGTGCCGCAAGCCCCTCCGGTGCCGTTGCATCATGGGTTGGAGTCACACCCAGTTTCCTGGCCCTCAGCACAGGCATGGCTTTTAACATGACTAAAACGCTGGCCACATTCTTCAGATATGCGAAGTAACTCTCAATGGCCTGGCTCTGCTTCCCTCATCCCCCAAGCAGTAGCGGTGGGGACTTTCTTCGTTTTGGGGAGTACCTCTAGCTCAGCCCCCTGGTACACGGATGCCAAGTGTGGAATTTCCCAGGAGCCTGTCTATGGGTGGTCCCACTCTGCAAACAAGGCTGCTCTGACCATGTGTGCAGATATCCTAAGTGCGTCTCCTTGCCAGATGTGTCTGCTCCGACTTAGGTCGTTCCCTTCTTGAACCAGAGTGTCATGGCTGACTGACAGCCATATGGGTTGACATGACCGACTCCATTTTTTAAATATATTTTATACTATATTGATTGAACCAATGCTATTTTATTGGTCCTGCTCGCCACACTTGGTTTTTCATCTACTGGTGTTCTAGCTCATGCTTAACATATTGTGTTAGAACAGATGGATCAGAGCGAGTTCTGGGAAGGTAAATCTTTGGGAGTTGGATAGTTACGGACTTGTATCATAGAATGGTGGCAGGAGGGAAGGTAGAGAGTTCAGACGTGTGTGGTACTGGGAAAACAAGAAATAGAAGTAAACAAGTGATCCGAATATAGGGGGCTACATAACTTCAATTTGCTCCAATACCAAGGAAATCAGAAATCTCAGACCAGTGCTGGATTGGCATAAATCCCAGGGCAATTCACAACTTCCCTACTGATTTAGGGCTATCTGTCTAGAACCACTTCAACTGGCAGTGGAAGGTCGTTTATGAAGCTAACAGCTAAATTATACATAGTTACCAGAATGGAGGACCTTGTCACCTAACGTTTGCCAAGCGTGTAACACAGTCAGCTAAAATTGACCGGGTGCCTGTTACCCTATTTGTACTTAATCATGTCCCCATACGACTGCTCTTCCCGTTTCATCTCACATGAGCAAGAAACAGGATCAGAAAGCTACATGACTCGACCAAGGTGACAGCTGAACTGTCGCTTGGGTAGGGGCTGTGAGCCCCTCAGTCAGTCCCCGTTCTTGCACCGGCACGTGGTAGATGCGCCCTGAAATTGACGGTGGCGGGCATGGTAGGGCCTTCTCTGCCTAATGGCCTTGTCTGGCCTTGGACATCCACTTCCCTTTTGCTAAGGTGCTCGAAGAGGGGCGGACCGAGGAGAAGCAGCGAGGCGAGCACACGTTAAGGCAGGTGCCGGACCCTGACGAAGGCGCGACCGGAAGAGGCTCGCCGGGCCCTCCCACAACAGTACAGAGGCGGCACCGGCGCCCTGTGGCCTGCATCCTACAGGCGGCGGAGGCGTCAGCGGCTTCCTGCCCTTTTCCAACATGACGGCGACCGGACCCGCCTCCCTGGGCGCCTGAGTCATGTGACCCACACAATGGCTGAGAGCCTACTGCAGGCTTCCCAGCAACGCCGAACGAAAGCCATGACGGCCGCCGCGGGTTCGGCGGGCCGGGCCGCCGTCCCTCTGCTGCTGTGCGCGCTGCTGGCGCCCAGCGGCGCATACGTGCTCGACGACTCCGACGGGCTGGGCCGGGAGTTCGATGGCATCGGCGCGGTCAGCGGCGGCGGGGTGAGTGGCGGGAGGTGGGGTGCGGGGCGGGGCGCCGGGGTCCACCTTGTCCCGCCCCACAAATCTCCAGTCGCGGCCCCGCTCCGGGCGGGCGCCCCAGGTTCGGCGGTGCCTGCGCACCCCTTGCTGGACTGGGTCCAGCGCTTGCTCCTCTAGGGCGAGCCTAGAGAGGCAGTTAGGTTTAACAGATGAGCATCCCGAGGTCCACCGAGTGACAGGTGTAGACAGTCACAAAGCTGGGACCTGAACTTTCAACGTGGGCGTGGGCACCGGGGCCGGGGCTGTGTTCACCGAAGAGATGGCGCTCCGGGAGGGTTGCTGCAGAAATCCTGGGAGCCGGAGAGCCTCTATCCAGCGGAGGGAATGCCCCAGTGAGATTATTCGGCTGTACCTTTTCTCTTTCACAGAGTTGGGTCGTGGAGTCAGAAGCGAAGCGCTAGACCTGTAGTGCAGGGTGCACCTGAACTCTTTCAAAGGGGCCAGTGCAAAATAGTTTTTTTTAAAAAAATTATTTTATTTTTCTATTAAAGTTTGCATTCAACAGTATTTTGTATTAGTTTCAGCGGGTAGACATTCATATAGGTTACAAAGAGTTCCCTCCGATAATTTGAGTTCGCACTGGGTACCATAGATAGCCATTACAATATTGTTCACTGTATTCCCTATGCTTCACCCAACATCCCCAAGCCTATTTTGTAACTACCAGTTAGTATTTCTTAATCCTATTTCCCCGCTCCCAACATCCCTCCCTTGTGGCAACTGTCAGTCTGTTCTCTGGATCTTTTAAGTCTCAATAGGTTTTTATTGGAGGCAGGACAGGTGCCTCAAGGCATCTTAGGTAAAGCAAGAGGCCTGAAACCACCTGGGACTTTTTTTTTTTTTTTTTTAAATGGCAGGCTGTATGCTAGTATCAACTTATATTGAGAATTGTTTATTGCTGGGGGCTGTGTTGCCTCCGATGGGCAAGGCCCACGGGGGTGAGTTGTCCACTAGAAGGTCCAGGGCCTCTGTACATCATTTATGTGCGGGAGGAGGGGGACACATTGGCTCAACAGCAAAGACAGTGGCTAGCCGCTGTTCGGGTGCCTAAGGATCACCTGGTGTGCTTGTTGAAACGCAGATGCTGACCACCCGCCAACCCCCATTCAGAGTGTAGTTTGGAGTGGGACCTAAGAATCTGCATTTTAACAAATGCACCATTTGATTCTCATGCTGAGTATTGAGCCACAATTTCCTTTTTTCTAATTCAAAGATCTCCAGAGCAAGCGATGAATTTCTAAAAAATAAACTTTTAATTTTAGAATCATTTTCGGTGTGCAGAAAAGTTGGCAAGACAATACAGAATTCTCATGTACCCTGCAGCAGTTTCTTCTGCTGTCAGCATCCCACGTTGCTATGGGACATTTTTCACAAAGCAATATTGTTAACATTAATGGAAGTTCGTATTTCCCTTCATATTCCCTTAGTTGTTACCACATGTTCTTTTTTTCTGTTCCAGCACTCTATGCAGGATACCAGTTACATTTAATTAGCATGTCTCCTAGCCCTCTTTTGGCTGTAACGCTGGGACAGGTTGGTGTGATTTATGCAAGGGACAGAAGGGCCACTCCAGCTTTGTGCAGAATTCTGTGGGCACAGCTGATCGTTTCCTTAGCCTTCTGATCATGCTGTTGGGCAGCCTCCAGGCATGGAGATGCGCGTCAATAGCATGACAGTTCTCGGCTCCATACCAAATTTACTTGATTTTTGTCCCATAGCTGTAACCTTTGTCTTGTCTTTCTTTTATTCTTGGTAACTTTTGAGTCTGCAGGGTTTATGGTGCAGACCTTCGAGTGAGAGGGATTTTCTTTTCTGTACCCCAGATCATGGATAAAGTTAATTTTATTTGAAAATATTAATGCGGAACTCCTGAATGGGTTGTCTGTTGGGTTGAATCAGATGGAACGTGCATCCTCAAATGCAATTTGGAACTAGCTTCTTGGGTGGATGTTTTATATTGGTTTCAGCCCATAGATAACTAGTGTTGTGGCTGGACTGGTTCTCATGATTGCAATGTCCTCAGCAATGACCATCAGGCAACTTGGGGGGGAAAAAAGGCTTATTACTCACAAGTGATAAGGAAGGTTGATTGCTCCATATCTGATTGAACACCTTGGACCACACACTGAGTTTGCAGGTGAGGAAAGGGGGGGTGTGGCTTTCAGTGCCTGCTTCTATTGGGGTGGAGGTGGGAGCCTGGTGTTTTGCAGACTCCCTCTGTTGGTGAACTTAAACTTAAAAGCCCCATCCCAACCTGGCTTTTTATTTACTTGTATGGCTGGCAACGTGTTTACCCGAGACAGCCTACTTTGAAATGGTCACCTCTTTGAAGTGGATGCCGCAATAATCAAAGCTTACCTCAGGCACTTGCATCAAAAAAAAGAAGAAACCAACTCTCAGGGCTTACTGTGCAGTTCATCCTTGATGCTGAGGCATCAAAGTCAATGATGAGGATAGTAACTGCCTGGGTAACTGACATGGTGAAAGTCAGGGGTAGGGCCTGTCGTAACCTACAAACTTCGCATCTAAATAGGACTGTAGTGGCACTCCTATAACAATTATACAGGCAATAGTTTGAAATCCAGCTCATAGCCATTGTCCCAAGCTTGAAGGGTCCTGCCATGAAACCAGGCCAGGGATCTCGAGGCTCTGGGAATCTGTTCACTGGTTTTGGCAATAATGCAAAATATTTTAACATTTTGGGCCATCCGGTATAAGTAGGTTTGAACCTGTCCTGAGTTGGTAGATTGCTCCATATCTCCTCGAACCAGTCTCTCAGTCTTGAGAGTAGGTCAGTTCATTTTAAGGGCTGGGTCTCGTTTCGGAAGGTGGTGATGCAGGTGGGCTCCCAAAGTTAAGCCTTCATGGTGTAAGAATTTGTGATATTAAATCAAGTGTTTAAACTTGCTGAAAATGGCAGTCTTTGATTATGTCTAACTTATAACTCAGTTTGAAATTATTAAAATGGGAATTGTTTCATAACTCAGAGTAGGTGGATCTTAATCTACTTTGATAGTGTCTCTCTGTGTAGTGCATTACTCATCTTAGAAGCTCAAATACTGATTAATTGAAATGGTTGCAACACATTTTTTGCACACCATTTTAAACTTCTTTGTAGAGTCCCTGGTACCTAGCACAGATTGTGGCAGTAGGTGTTTGGAATGTTCTCATTTACTCTTTATTTGCAGTAGGAAAGGCAGGATGGTGTAGCAATTAAGAATGTGGATTATACCCTAAGAATCCGGAAACACCAATTCAAAAGAACTTATGCAGCCAGTGTTCATAGCAGCACCATTTACAACAACCAAGTGCTGGAAGCAACCTAAGTGCCCATCTGTAAATGAGTGGCTCAAAAAACTATGGTATATTTACACAATGGAATACTACGCAGCAGAAAGGAGTTCCTGTCCTTTGCAACAGCATGGATGGAACTGGAGAGCATTATGCTAAGTGAAATAAGCCAGGCCATGAAAGACAAATACCATATGATCTCACCTATAAGTGGAATCTAATCAACAAAACAAACAAGGAAGCAAAATATAACCAGAGACGCTGAAATAAAGAACAAACTGACAGTAACCAGAGGGGAGGGTGGAAGGTGATAAAGGGGGAGAGAAGGGGAAGGGTCAAGTCAAGGAACATGTATAAAGGACCCATGGACAAAGCCAAAGTGGGGAAAGATGGAGGGTGGGAGGTGGGGGGTGGGGGGGGCAGAGGAAAGTGATGGTGGGGAAATGGAGACAACTGTACTTGAACAACAATTTAAAAAAAAGAATGTGAACGCAAGAGCAGATTGTGGGCCCTGCCATTCACTGTACAGCCTTGGGAAGGTTACTTAACCTCTCTGTGTCTCAGTTTCTTTTTTGGGGACACAGTGATACTTGCCTGATAGGAACGTTATGAGGAAATATGTAAAGTACTTGGGATGGCATCAGGTACATGACTAATTTTAGTTAATATCATCTTATTTCATAGATTAGGAATGAGGAAGTTGTCCCAAGGATGGTAAGTGAAACAGGTGTTCCAATTTGCATATACAGTGCCTGCCCTGTATTGAAAGCCTCCTACATGGCAACTGTCGTGCTATGGGCTTCCTCCTGTGCTGGCTGGAAAGAGCTCCAGGCTGTATTCAGAGGGATGTGATTAGTAATTTGTTATTGTTGATGGCGATTTCCACATTTGGCTGCACTACCCTTAACTGACTATTCTTGTGGACTGACCTTTTTGCAATGGATGTGACTGTGGGCTTGCAGTAGTGTGTTTGCTTAAAGTTGGTACTTTCGGGGATAAGGATAGGAGTGCAGAGAGGGCTAAATAACCCCGAAAACAGCAAAACCCACCATTCCATTCTAAGTGCATAGTGCAGGGCAGGAAGCATTGTTTGCGTTGGGTCAAAGATAGTTTGTATGCATATATAATGTTCATTCACTGAGTGCCTACTTAAATATTTGAACCTCTGCTAGTCTGTAAGCTATTTGAGAACAGCGACTGTCTTATTAAAAACAATTTGTGTATATAATGCCTGTCACTTATTGAGAGCGTACTATGTGCCAGTTGCTATGCTAAGCCCTTTGCATGCATCTTATTTTAATCTTAGAACAGCTGAATTAATATGATAACCCACTTTACCGAAATTTGCCCTTGGTCACACAGCTTGTAAATGATGGAATCAGGATGCAATTAGATTGCCTGTACTAATGCAACAAATGATAATGTAAAAGATATTAAATACGCATTTATTGAATAAGAGAATCAATGGGATATGTGCTTAAATGAGACATAATCCCTGTCCTCAAAGAATTTTAAAAAGTGAAAAGACTAAAGCAGTGATTAGGATGCAGGATTAGAAGACATGGTAGAGATGTGGGCTTGGTGCCAAGGGAGGCCACAGGACAGGCACCTGCTTCAAACCAAGGGACGGGGGAGGGGCGGAAGGCTGGCGGGGGAGCAGCAGTCTCCTCCCTTGAGGAGTTTGAGCCAAAGACTGAAAGATGAATTGGAATTGGCTAAATGAGTATGTGAAATGCATTCCAGAAAGAAGAAAGAGAAAAAGCAGTTTCATTTGATTATTCTCTGGACCAGTGGTCCCCAACCTTTTTGGCACGAGGGACTGGTTTTGTGGAAGACAATTTTACCTTAGACCAGAGTGGTGCGGATGGTTTCGGGATGATTCAAGCACATTCCACTCAAGCTCACCTCCTGTCATGTGGCCCAGTTCCTGATTTAGACAGAAGATGTGAGAGTGACAAGGGATAAAGGGTCAGAGTTAGGCTCCAAATAATTAAGGGATTTGGGTATAACATTGAGTGTCTGAACTTTATCCTGAAAGCTCTTGGAGGAGGGGGAGGTCTTGGTAGGTTTACACTGAGAAGTTTCATGATTGGATTTGTATTTTGGGTAAATTAATCTGGCAAGTAGTGTAGAGAATAGAATAGAGGGAGGCAGACGGGAGACTCTGAGACCATTGAGGCTGCCCTCATACTTGAGGAGCCTGATGAAGGCAGTTGAAGAGGAGGGGATGGATGTTTTGAGACAGTAAGGAGGTCTTCATGAATGGAGATGGATGGAAAGTGTGGCGAAAGGGTGACCCTAAGTTTATGGTAAAGGCAGATTGTTGTTCTTTACTAAGATAGCAAGTGCAGGAGAAGGAGCAGATTTAGGAAAAACTGGCTGTGTTTGGTAGGGGATGAGTTATGCTTGAGGTGGTGAGAGCATCGGAGGCCCAGTAAAGGCTGGGGAGGTTCCGGTATGAGGGAGATAGATGTGGGCACCACCAAAATGTCAGAGGTGGTATACGCAATAGTATAAAACAGAACATTGAGTCCTATAAAAGTCAAGCATCTTGCCCCTGTTATACTCCTGGCACGGTGTCAATGGCTTGGGCCTAGGGTTCATCTGGCTTCCAAGCCTAGTGATGTGCTGGTGTTTCATGATAAAACCTATTTCCTTTCTTCCCCCTGGAATACGTTATTGCTCAATTACTGGTTTTTTGGTTTTTTTGTTTAAGCAGTTGTCGGCCATGGTTTAGATACGGTCAAGTGTTGGTTCCCCGTACCTTCCACCTCTGATGCCAGTCTCGTGTGAGGTTTTCTTAGTGCAGCTTTGCCTGGGGATCATCGTATGGTCATTCATAACAATAGCAGGGAGCACTTATAAATCACTAATAAGGAAGAGAAGGGTAGCGATTCCTTTCAGCATTGTGGCTTGTAATATTTTCCTGCAAGATGTAGAGGGTGAAAGTACCTGAGATTCATCCCTCCCATCCTGGCCCCCAGGTATGGTAGTTGACAAATGGTCTCAAGATAAAGAACCAAAGTTTCATTTCTTATAGTAACCACTCTATGAGCCCAGGTCCTCAAGACACATTTGTAATTATGAGGTTCATCAATAGAATTAACAAGGTTACCTCCCAGCCAGCCATCTCAGTAGAATAGAAGCTTGCTTGTTGCTTGGAACCTGTGTTTTAGCTATTGAACAAATAGACCCATTTGCCCAGTGAGGAGCAAAACAGATTCAGGCAAACAACAACAACAACAACAACAACAAAACCATGGGAAATGACTTTATATAGCTCTGCCTTGCCCAAGAGCGGGCTGCATATGGGTAGAGTGCATAAAGCAGTATGAAAAAGTGTTCATGGTAGGGTTTGCTTTATTCATCCTTTTGAAACTTTTCTTTTAGGCAACCTCCCGGCTTCTAGTAAATTACCCAGAGCCCTATCGTTCTCAAATATTGGATTATCTCTTTAAGGTAATGGAAACACAATTGTTTAATGGTACCTGTCATATATTAGAAACTATGGTGAATTTTATCCATTATTTTTATCACCTTCACAATTCTAGTTTTTTTAAAAAATGGCAAATTCCTTTTAGGATCAATTGCTATCTATTTGAAGTTTTGCTTTGGTTTTCTTACCTGTAAAGTCAAAGGCAGCAATTAGTAATTGTCTTGAAGTGTTTTGTCTGTTGTACAGTGAACCACGGGTTAATACTGTTACTTCTTTCTCCAGCCAAACTTCGGTGCCTCTTTGCATATCCTAAAAGTCGAAATAGGTGGTGATGGGCAGACAACAGGTAGGAGTTTGGGAAGTGGGATTCCCCGCCCCCTGCCACCCCAGCATTTCACTCTATGATTAAATTATGGACTGTGATTTCAGAATATAAATAATACCTACATTTTTGACATTGTTTATTGCTTAGTAGATTGTTCCTCAATTTTCTTTTTTCACTCCAGTTCTTTTTAAAAAATTGTATCAAAGTATGCATTTTTCCCCATCAAAAACAGGATTTGGGCTTTAGATGGTTTGTTTAGTTAAAGTAATTAGTAATAAACAAATCCACAGTTTTCTAAAAGCTATATTCACTAGACAGAATATAGGGACAGTTTGAAATTGCATTAAAAAGTTAAAAAAAAGCTTTTCATATTGTATAAAACATGTAAGGCGTTATTAGCTTTAAATAAAATAGGTGGTAGAAATATAAATAATCAGTATTTCAGATACATAGCTCTATTTTTCTTTTCAAAACAAAGTAATTTTTAACCACCAAATCTTCACTCTTAAGTGATGATTTTGATTGGCTTTGTGATGCATGTAGTCAATTACAAGTTTATGGGCTGTAGTTTCTAGGAAGAAGAAAAAGAAAAGGAAAAGGAATTTAATTCTCTCAATTATATTATATAACTTATTATTTATAGGTCAGATTCCATTAGCGTGAACTCTAGTCTATTTGTGCCTTTGTGTTCCTGTTAGTGATTTGGAAATGATTTTTGTTAAACAGACACGTCTGTGGTATTGGTGTTTATGTTGAAAGGAATGGAGCATGAGACTTGGATTGTAGGAGCCCAGGGATTCACACCTGGGAGTGAGAAGCTGGATGTGGAGGTGATGGGAATTTAAAGTTGGATATGGGATTTGAAAACCCCAGAGAGACCAAAAGCCCAGCAGGATGTAGTTCTAGGAATTTGCAATTATATGAGGTGATAACACTTCTCTTAACACCGCTTATAATAGAAATGGAAGGTGCTTACGATGCTTAGGATAATGAAAAAAGATGAAATAATATGCTTTGATCATCCATCTGCAAGTTATATAAGGTTATTCTTCTTTGCCCGACTTCAGGATCGGACGTGGAGCACTCCTCCTGTGAGGTGTGTGCTTGTGTGCTGGGCGAGTGGCCCCCCCACCCCCTACCCCCCACCCGCTGTGCACCGGCAATGGAATTGCTTCCTTTCTCTTTTGTTCTCTTTCTTTCAGATGGCACTGAGCCCTCCCACATGCACTATATGTTAGATGAGAATTATTTCCGAGGATACGAGTGGTGGTTAATGAAGGAAGCTAAGAAGCGGAACCCTAACATCAGACTCATGGGTAAGAAGTGACGTTCGCCATACTTTTGCAGTCTGTCTTCCTGTAACTTTAAAATTATGAATCATGTATGGGGGGGCTCTGTTAACACTGAAGTACTAATACCGTAATTAATACTACCAGTATGCTACCAGTATGCTACCAGTAGTGGAGCATGTGCCAGGCATGATCCCTTTTTTTGCCCTTATATATTATCTCTGATCTTTAGGATAATTCTGGAGGAAGACATTATCCTTATGAGTTTACAGAAGAAGCAGTAGAGGCTCAGAGAGGTTATGCCACTGACTTAAGATCAGATCATTAGTAGATGGCAAAATTAAATTGAGAAACTATTCCATCCCAGAGTTTTTGCTAAGCTACATTCTTCAGCAACATTTCTCATCAAATTTTGTCGAAGGGCAATGCTGTTTATAAAATTGTATATCACATGCAGTAATATTTTCCAGCCGCTTGCAGAATTGTGCATCGCATATAGTAGACCCCATTCCTAGGAGCGATACATACGAAAGGTTTTTGCTTGCTGTGAATCTCGGCGATGTGGGGTTCTGAGTGGTCCAGCCCCAGACCCCTGCCCTGCGGAACTTAGGTTTCAGGGCAGGATCATTGGTTGGCTCTCAGACGGGGCTGTGTTCATTTCACAGTTCTCATGTAGCAGTGTCCGTACTTGTATGATACTTCAAACACACACAGTGGTCGTAGATAGTCGTCATTTGACATGAATTTGATTTTTTGAAACAGGCTTGCATATTCAGACTAAGTTCAGTGAGATTAATGAGATTTCAACAATCACGTTAAAGGACAAGTGTAAGCTTTCCTAAAATAAATAATGAGGAGCCAGTGTATTCTTTGTAAATGGACTTTTGTAAGAGATTCCAGAAATGTTTGGAACAGTGAAAAGCACCATTGACTTCATCGCTTACTTTGCCCTTTGGGCTGCCTTCAAGGTCAGGTCTCATTTAAATGCAGAAAATCGGGCACGTGGAACCCTGTCCTAACCAAGATTTACCCGTGGTTGGACCTTCAGAATGTATGTGGCGTTTCATTGTTTTAAATGTTCCATTATTTTATTGTTACATCTTTTGAGTAAATACACTTAGACATTCCTCCTGAGTTTAGAAAAATAAACATTTTGTCATTTTGATTTTGATTTTTTTAATGGTGAACTAGGTTGGTAACATATAAACAGGGAATTTAGATGTTTAAGTTTATTTTAATATATTAGTAACAGAATTAGTATTTAGAATTGTAATTAGTGCTTCTCTACTATTCTCATTTTTTCACTTAAAATAATATTAGAGTATTGGAACAATGTGGATTATTTAATATACATCATTTAACAAGGATATATTTTTTTCCCCTATTGAGTCATTGGCATTTATATTGACACAACAAGAAACTAGTTTTGCTAAATTTCAATACCTAGTTTATATTTTAAGTAGCCTTAGTAGTGAATGAGGAATTTGTATTATACTTACCTTGTAGGAGTAGTTAAGCATGAGTTTTTCAGAACTCTATGATTTGACCTTGGACAACAGAAATTGGATATTGAACATCCGCTACAGTAGGTGGTAGAGATGTTAAGTTAAATTGTAAGTTTTTCTCTCTGTTGGTAAGTATCTTCGGGAGAGGTGCTTGTTTTTGTTGCTGTTTGTTTTTATTTCTTTTTCTTGAAAGAGCACTTGGAGTTATCATATCTGACTCCAGGGATCAGTAAGAAATTAGAGTGTTGAAGGGATTTTGAGAATTTGTGCATGGCACGTAAGCTTTCCTTTAGCCAGGTCTGTACTGGCTTTTTGCTTTGCCTGTGTTCTGCTGGGTTTCTTCCGCTGTGTGCTCGGGAGCGCCCGCGTTGCCACCCGCACTGTGCCTCTCTGCAGGGCTGCCGTGGTCCTTCCCTGGATGGCTGGGACAAGGTTTCAACTGGCCTTACGTAAACCGGCAGCTGACGGCCTACTACATCATGAGCTGGATTGTGGGCGCCAAGCATCATCACGATTTGGACATTGATTATATTGGGGTTAGTAATATATTTAAAACATGCTTAACTTTGGCACATTTATTTATAATTTTTTAAAGTGGCACTTTGTTAACTAACCATCTTGTGTCATGAGACTAATTTGTTCTATTGATGTCTGATAATAACATAAATTAACTACATGTAGCCGTTTAATTCCTCCTCTTTGTCCATCCATGTTCTTTCCACTTTTGAAAAATGTCCTGTTTATATTTTCTGAAATATTTTTTAATGTTTATTTTGGGTCTCACTCAGGCTCAAATTCTTCTTTTTCAAAGCTTTCCCTAGTTTTCCTAGTTCTTATAAGAATACAATGTTTACTATACTGATTAGTCTCATTTTGTTCTGAGTCTTCTGTTGTTCTAAACCAGTGGGTGGCAAACTTCCCTAAAGGACCAGAGAATAAATAAATTTAGGTTTTGTAGGTCAAAAGTTATTGATAAGGATATTTTGCAGCTAATTATGTAACCAGTTAAAATGCAACCATTAAAACTGAAAAAACTGTTTACAGCTCTCAGGCTCTAAACATACAGGTAGTGTGCCAGATTTGGCAGGCTGGCAGAAATCTGCCCACCCTTGTCCTAAACTGTTATTTAATGATTAAAAAAATGTAAATCATGGTATCTTGTCTTTCTGGCAGGCTGGAGGCATGCCTCAGGCTGCACTGTACCCTACTGCGCACTATACCGCACATAGAGTGGGTCTCCGTACACTTCTGTTTATTAATATGCCATCTGTCAAATCTGACTTCAAAAGTTTTCATGCAATCAACAAGCAGTTATTTAGTTCCTACTGTGCCGCAGGTACTGTGACTGTTATGTTCCAGGCATAGCAGAATTAATAAGCTCTCGAGGAGTTCAGTGAGAGGGGTAGACACTGGAACAGGTAAACCGCAGAATCACGGGTCATGTAGGACATGGGGACGAGCCGAGGGCTGGAAGCCAGAAACAAGAGCACAGCACACTGGTTCTTATTGTCCTTCTCCAAATTATAACTGAAAATTAGTTTGCATTTGACAACATGTTAAGGTATTTTTAACCCATAGTGAGACTAAATGTAGGTTTGGGTCTAATAGTATTCTATTACGGTAAAGTCACACTTAGAAACTCTTTCTGGTGAATAATGGGTGATTCACATCTTTTTAGACTGTTATAATCACATGGGGTGGTGAGGAGCTTCTTTGATAAGAAACTCTCCTGTATCACTGGAGTAAAAAAAATCACAGTACCTGGACTCTAGGCCCATCTTTGTAATTAGTGGTTTTCTCAGCTGCAGGATTCAAGTCGTGGAGGTTCTCTTTCAACCCTAAATTCCCATGCTTCGTGATCCTAAACCCAAGAGACTTGTGCCTGTTGTTTTTATTCTTATTAAGAATTCACTTTGTGATGTAGCACATCATTGTGCTTTTCTGTGTGTGCTAAAATAATTTCTCCTGCATGGTGTACTTAGGAATACCTGGCTCTCAGGCGTGCCTCTGGGAACCTTCTAGGAAGTGTCACAGCAGCCCCTCTGTCTGTTAGGTCTCCGGTGTCAGCGTAGTTCCTGGCACATCACCTTGTCAGTATTTATTGAAAGATTCATGGTTCCATTTTTGGAAATCTCTGGAATAAACAATTTTAGAAAATACCTCAGAAATATTTTAAACTTTTTAAAGGTAGTATTTTAATTTTAAAAGTTATGTTGTCTTATAAATATCAGTACATTCAACAACAGACCATCCCGTAAAGTAAGGAAAACGGCTTTTCAGGTGATATGACAGAGGATGAGAGGAATGGCGTTTAGTGATAATGTCTGTTTTCTGACACTTAAAAACTTTTAGTTCAGGCTTTCTAACTTTCTGTTTTGCAGATTTGGAATGAGAGGTCATTTGACATCAATTATATCAAGGTTTGTACAACTTAAAAATCTTTTAATCTTTAAATGATTAATAAATAATTCCTTTGTGGTTCCATGGAAATTAGTAGTAAAAGCTGTATTTGTTTATAGCACAGTTAATTGTTTTGCTAGTTGTGACACAAAATTTAAGCAAAACCTTAATAATATTTAGACTCCTGATTAAGGCATGTGCAATTTCCTGTAAGCCCTGAATTTTATTTATATATAGATATATATGTGTGTGTATGTATATGTATGGGTATGTGTGTGTGTATGTGTGTGTGTGTGTGTGTGTGTGTGTGTGTATATATAAAAAATACTATTATGAGTCTGTTCTAATTCCATTGTGGTCTAATTCAACTTACCTTGTTTGAAAAACTGCTATTTTAAAGAATTTAGATCATTTCCTTTTCTCTCAACCTTTAGTTTACCTGCAGTAAAATATCTCAGGATATAAAAACTTTTAGCGTTTAATTGCCATTTGGTAGCAACATTTTATTGGCATCTGTGTCCTGTTTGTTAAAATACCCATTTAAAGAGTTCAGTAATGGCAGATGAGTGTAGGTGTTGGGGTTCGATAAGCTTTCTGAATAAATATTCCATATAGTATAGCAAGATGGCCCCTGGGAAAATGGTATGGATTTGTTTTTAAGAGTAGAAATTAATCTAATACAAACAAATGATTTATATAAAAGTGGCAGGGCTACCGTTTCTTTTGCTTTTGCTATTTACGTTGTGTTGAAGATTTGCCTTGGGTTTTCAGTGACGTGGGTTTTAAATTGTGTTTGGAAAACCCCATTTGGGGTCCGAGGGCGGTGGGTGGAAGGGGCTGTGTCAGTCTCTGGACGGTGCTGAGCACCAGAGTGGGCACCCTATGCTGTGTTGTCTTATTTCCTGTTAGAGTTCAGCTTGTTGCTTTTAATTTTCCTGGGGAGATAGTCCTACAGGTAGATTCTTATTGCCTGTCTAGTCTAGACATGTGAAAGACTTGAGGGTAACCATGGAATATTTCTTATTTCTCAATGGTGCAAAATATTGAGAACTAATATTTTCAGTAATGGTAGAATATGTAAAGACGCCAGAAAATACTCAAAGTAAAATGATAATTTAAAGCATTTTACCAAATGGTATGTTTAATATGATTCCAATCTTATTTTGTTTCTATATAGGAAATTGCCTGAGTGTATTCCAAAAATAATAGTGGCTATTTCCGGGTAGTGCTATTACGATTTTTTAAATTTTTTTTTCTTTTTACTTTCTACCATCCCATCCAAAGTTTTTATGGTTAAACATAATTTTGAAGGTAGAGGGAAAATCCCTCTAAAACATTTTTACCTCATGCGTTTGTTTATTTTCTTCTAACATTTCCATGAAGTAGATTATCTTGATAATAATGCTTTTATTTTCCATAGGAAGCAAGTTTCTACTGAGAAATAATTTTAACACCATTGTCCAGGATGCTGAATTTTGAAGATACCTTAACTACCTTGGCTGTAATTCAACAGCTGAGAACTCACTGTAGCCTTTCCTATGTTCTGTCCTCCCTCCCAAAGGTTTTAAGAAGAATGCTGGACTATCAAGGCCTCCAGCATGTGAAAATCATAGCGAGTGATAATCTCTGGGAGCCCATTTCTATTTCTATGCTGCTCGACTCTGAGCTCTTGAAGGTGATTGATGTTATAGGGTAAGGAATATTCTACTTTGAAAACTGAGTTTCTGGTTGCTTGTTCTGGATATTGACTATGCCTTTCTTTTTGTGTTTTCCTCTCCATTTGATTACATTTTCAGAACGTAGCTTTCTTGTGTTTACTTAAGCGTGTATAACTGAAACTTCATTCCTTTGAAGCGTATGAATTTGGGATTTTTCTATGACCATGAAAGGTACTGGTAATTTTTAAAAGCTGTGTTAATGTTTTCAGTAATAAAACTTGGCTTTTCTTAGATTAAGGGGGAGGACAATATTTACATTTTAGAAGTTATGAAAGGCAATGTCATGAAATTAGTTCCTAACACTCAGACTTCCTGTGGTCTTTATTTTTTTTCAGGCTTTATTTTTTTATACAAGTATATTTCAACCAGAGATATGCTGAACATACATTTGGCTTTTGGCTGGGACTGAATATCATGATCGTAGAATGAGGTTTAAAAAAAATTAAAATTAACATTATTACAAGTATTAGTAGTCACATTTTCCACGTTGGGCATTATGGTGCCAAGACAAGAATTTATTAACCCTGGTAGGTGCTAGCTCGTTCTTGTGGTCTCTGTTGAGTATATTTACAATACTGAAAGGTGCTCTTTTCAACTGAATTCAGGGACTCAAAAAATCTTGGTGAAACCTCATTTTTCTCAAATGTTTCTTTTTATATTCTCTGTTTGATACACACACACACGTATATATAAGGTCTCTCCAGAAAGTACCCAGCCACGTAATATGAAAAATAGAGACATTTATTGAAGAAGATCCAAGAAACATTGTACATAGGACAATGATGCCTCAGTGCCCTTCAAAGTAGGCACCTTGGGAGCTCACACAGCTCTCCCTAATCACCATCCGCTGCCCCTTCCTATTTTCCTGAATCTCCTCTAGGGTCTGAAATTTCTTTCCTTTCAAAGGCGATTTCAGTTTTGGGAAAAGCCAGAGAAGTTGCAGGGCCCCAAATCTGGGCTGGGGGTCTGAGTCACCTGGGTGATTTGATATTTTGCCAAAGAACTCTGCACCCGATGTGATGCATGAGCGAGCACGGTGAAGCTGCCAGTCACCAGTTGCCCGTAGCTGCAGCCCTCGGAATCATTCAAATAGTTTCCATGGAGGAATGTTCAAGCTTAACGAAAATTTGATGCAGATTTGTTGCTCTACTCACTCAGTCATTTTGAATGTGACGGCCACACTGTAGACATGCTCACTCATTGGCATGTACTGCCCTCACTGACTAGTATAGTGAAGTTGTCATTGTTCATGGGTGCGTGTTTCAATCCATTCTCCTTGGCTGCCAGGTTACATCAATGTCATGTAACTGTTCTCATTGAATTAACAGTGGTTGGACTTCTTCTGGACAGAGCTTGTTTTATATGTATATAGACACACATATTTTTCCTCACGAAATCTTGAAGTGCCAAATTGATGTTGTGCCCTCAGCTGTCTTTACTAGATATAATGAATTCACAAATAGGACTTTCTCTTAAAAGATTCATGACTGAAATGGAATTAAAAAACTGCAAACTCTATCAGGACTTCATAATTATTCTTTTAATGTAATGAATGCGACTGCCCCAAACTACAAAGATAAATCCAATCTTTATTATCTGCTTCTGTTAGTATTAATTTTTTAAAAAATAACCGTTGGCCTAAAAAGTATACACTCATGTCCCTAAAGTTATTCAGCTAACGTGCTCTCGTTACTATACTGTCGGTCTGTTTCCTATTTTACTTTTGAAATTTCTTAATTGTTTTTGTTCAGTCATCAGTAGTCTGCACAGTCGTCATTATGGCAGTATTTTACTCTTGGAATAATAAATATACATTTCTACTTCAACTGACTGACCCCTTTCAAATGCTAGAATAAAGGGGAAGGTTCGTTCCTCAGGGGCCGGGTTTCCCAGCCTCTGCCGTTTTGGTGTTTCTCTGGGTAATTCTTTGTGGTGGGGACCTGCGCTGTGCCTTGTGGGATGTTTAGCCGCATCTCGGGCCTCTGCTCCCTGGATGCCCTCCCTGGATGCCCTCCCTAGATACCAGCCCCAAACCCTGCCCACCGCCCCCCATCCCCCGCCCGCCAGCAGGCAATACCGCCCAGTGTGAGAGCCAGCACTGCTCTGGGATTATAACTTGTAGTTTTTCCAAGGTAATTTATTCAAGAAAGAACTCTGTGTGGGTTTTTATTGTTTTTTGTTGTTTTGGGGGAGCAAATGCCAAGTTGTCTTTCTCTGTTTACTAAGGCTGGGAGCAAGGGAGGAAGTACTACTTTATGTAATAGACTCATTAGTCTTATTTTGTGCTCCCTTCTCACTCTTCCTTTCTGGGGTCCCAAACCCTGGTCTTCCCCTGGGAAGTCTGGATCCTGTCTCCACGCTCTTCACCTCTTGGAGGGTTCTAGGCTGTGGCCTCCTCTGCTACCTCCATCTATCAACATGCTTCCATAAATTTTATGGTTTCCAGAAACAGATTTCTCATTCATCTTCCTTCCCATTTAGTGTGTGGCTGTAGGTTTCTCTCATCTTAAGAGCCCCCTGAGACGTAAGGCTGGGAAGCAGGTGCTTACAATCTGTGTGAGGTCCACCTGGAAGCTGCCCATTGTTTTCAAATAGAACGTGTCGGAGAAGGCGTGCATTTTTATTTACTCAACAAGTGGATATAAGTGCTGCGTTTAGACCTTTTCCCATTTCCTCCCATCCTTTCTTTTCTAGAGCTCATTATCCTGGGACCCACACAGTACAGAATGCCAAGCTGACCAAGAAGAAGCTTTGGTCTTCTGAAGATTTTAGCACTTTAAATAATGAAGTGGGTGCTGGCTGCTGGGGCCGCATATTGAACCAGAATTATATCAATGGCTACATGACTTCGTAAGTATTAACGACTTTTAAAGGTTTTTACCTTGAAAATTTTTTAAAACAGAAATTGTAGAAAAATGTGCAGTGGATTTCCATATTCTCACAGATTCAATGATTGTAAACATTTTGCCTTAGTAGCTTCATCTATAACTATATCTGTACCTAGAATACATCTATTTATTTTTCTATATTTGAATATCATCTGTATTAAATAAAATCAGGCTTATTGACATATAATTAATATATAGTAAAATGTATGTACTTCTATGATTTTAACAAGCAATATATATGTATGTATATGCATGTATATATACATATATATTTATAAAGTAAAATTACAGATATCATGACACTTTACCCCTAAATATTTTAGCATGTGGCTCCAAAAGTAAGGATATTTTCCTATGTGATCACAATATCATTTTGATACATAAGAGCATAAGGACATTTAAAAAATATTTCTAATAACTAGTTTATATGCAAGTTTTCCTACTTGTCTCTAAAAATGTTATTTATAGCTTTTTTTTTTAAAGTAAGAGCCAAACAGCAATCATTGCATTTAGACATTATGACCCTAAAATCACTTTTAGTCTAGAATAGTTTCCTTCCTTCCTCATTTTTTATGACAGTGACCTTTATAGAAGAATGGGGAAGGTGTTGTGTGGATTACTCACTTTCTAATCCGCCTCTGGACAAGAAATTTCCCTTGTACCTTCACTTCCTTTGTGTAACTGTCTGTTCCCAAAGCAGAGGTCCTGAAGAGAGAACACAACTCTTTTTTTATTTCTCAGGGAAGATTTTTAAATGCTTTGAGGAGCTTTAATTGTAATTAAATTCAACTTAGCTTTCTAAAACAAAAATAAATAGAGCAAAAGCAAGCCAATATATACTTCTATGATGTTAATGTGAGCTGACATTATTCTGACAGCCTTCTTTGTTCTTTGTCTTCTCTTTTTGAAAGGAAAGATGCTTATCATGGAGCCTTTGCTTCTAATAACTTAATTTGGTATTATTAGGAGTCATATCTACTCATTGCAGAGAATTTTGTAACTACATATAAATACAAATGAGGAAACAAAGTCACTCATATTTCTGCCACCCAGAAGTAACTGTTCTTAAAAATATCACTATACATCTTCCCATTTATATTATATATGCAAAATTTTAACACGGAATTGAGAACATACTATGTAATGTTCAATAAATAAGCTGCTTTTCACTTAATAAGGCATTATGAACTTTTTCTCATACTTCAGTATACTTTGACTTCATCACTTGTAGTTTTTATATATGTTCTTTTACATAAGGCAGCATTTCCCAAACTTGCCTTGTCTCAAGAAGCACCTAGATACTTGCTTGTACTGATTCTCGGCGGCCGCCCAGACCTGCTGAACCTGGATCTCCAGGGACGGTGCCTGGAACTCTACTGGGCTAGTTGGTGCCCAGGTGATCCTGGGGCACACAAATTTGGGAAACTCTGATGTAGAAAATATATTATACCTCATTGAATATTGTTCTTTTCCTAGGAATCAAAGTTATTTCTTTCTATTTTAGTTACAGCTCAGCACACTCTGAAATGACCAGTTGCATACAGATATCTTCATAGACATCTATGATTGTTTCCTCTGGGTGTATTCTTGGAAATGGAATCTGTGTCTGGGTCAGAGATCTCTAGGGTTCCAAGGCATTTTTATATATTACAAAGTGCTCTCCATGTTGTTTACTTATATTTCTAGCACCAGCCAGAGAAGACGCCATGCATCTTATAATCCATGGGTAAAATCATGAGAACCCTTAAAATTTTCACTGGTAGTAAGGATTTTTGAAAATTGGGACTATTATTCCTACTTTGTGTTGACAGAATTAGAAGGCTTTGACTTTCTAAGAATGTCAGTCTGCCGTTTTATTATGGGTGAGGACTTGATAAGAAAAATAACCTGTTTATTTTATTACCTGAGTAAAGTCTGGTTTTTCTTTTGTTTGTTTTGTTTTTTGTTCTTAGCTCTGAGGAACCCAGCAGTACCAGGGTCCAGGGTCTAGAGATTCCCTTTTGCCCTTGGATTTCTCTGAGAACCAGAGTCACAATTTTAGGGGTGAGCACCTTCTGTGGACGTCTCACAGAATGGACCAAAATACTGACCAGCAAGCTGACCCAAGTAGTACTTGTAGGTGAAGCAGGATCATAGCAGTGCTACAGCCCAGACTTTGTTCTGTGTTCTTCATGTGCTTGGTACATTTAATTCTCACAGCAGTCACATGAACTAGGTACAGTTCTTATCCTCATTTTACAGGTGAGAAACTGAGGTCCAGAGAGGTTAAGTGGTAGAGCCATGATTTCAACGCAGGCAGTCAGTCTCGATTTTAAAACTTTGCAGTCACTCAGAACTGCATAAAATTATGTCATGAAACTGGGGCATTAAGGAGGCTGACTATCACAGGAAAACAGGTATGGATAAAGCTTTTATTTTGTGTTTGACTCACATTTGTGACATGTCTGGTACTAGCAGGGTACAGTCCATCTTCTGGTCACACCATTACTCAATTGTATATTGTATATACATTTGTATTTTTTTATTATATGATTCACCATTAACAATATATAGATGCCTCCAACACTGGATTTCTCAAAACGTGAATGATCTTAGTCATGTTACATTTTCTTGTTTCGTGTGGTCATTTTCTGGTTATTTACATATTTTTTACATAAATTATGTGTAGGTCTTTTGGCTATGTAGGCTTCTAGACATTAACATTTTTACCACAAGCTATTTTGGTGTTCCTCTTTTATCGAACAAATCTTTTAGAACAATCGCTTGGAATTTGGTGGCCAGTTACTATGAGCAGTTGCCGTATGGGCGTAGCGGACTGATGACCGCTCAGGAGCCGTGGAGTGGGCACTACGCAGTAGAGTCTCCTATCTGGATAACAGGTGTGCTTCACATACCGTCTCTCACGCCCGAAATTCCTAAGAGACAAAGCAGAAAATGATTAGAAAGGATTGTTGGGAAGGGGAGAAATCGTCCCCTAATTTTCTTGTTTTTTTGACTGTCTAATAATTAATTAGGAACAAGACAGATTAACAGGAGGGGAAAAAAAAACAACCAAATTTAAGTTTGTGCATAAGGAGGTCTCATAGATACGGGTCCTAAGAAGTGGCCAAAGCCGGCTGTTGATAATACCTTTTAGACAAAGAAACAAGATATTTGTGCTGAACTGACAAGATAACAAAAGCGTCTTGGGTGCTCATTAGTGAAGAAACTAAGCAGTTTGCTTACACAGCTTTCTCCGCTCTGAACTTCCAGTCTCTGGCATAAGGGTGTCTCTCTGCCTCCTGGTGCAGGGTGGGTACCTTTACCTGGGAGGTTTATTTCCTACATTCAGGGGGTAGAGAGAAGGGTCAGAGTGTCCTTCTTGCACTGCTGTTTCTCAAGTAACTTTAATAAATACAAATAATCATTATACTGCCTTGGAATATGTCCTGGTTGGCTAATGTTGAAACTGCTTTTTTTTGGTGTGGGGCTGAGATGTAGAGTATTGCTTAGTACATTTTCGGAGCCAGCTGTGGAGGCGCCCAGTAAATACACAGGGTCCAGCACAAATAACGCCCCCTTTTTTTTTTAACAAAAGTTTTTATTACAAAATCACGAGCATGCAATTCTGTGACATAACAATATCATACTCAAGCACACCATATGACATTTTAGGTGAAATGTTCAAATTAAAACTATAAATTATTACACCCATGTTATTACCCTACCAACCACACTCAAGCAAGTGTTACTTCTGCCGGACCATGTATATTGTGGGAAATAAACTTGTTTGAAATCATAGAGCTTAGTTTTTGAGAAGCATTATTAACTCTTTTAACCTTATTTTTGTCATTATATTAGGTTGGGTTAAATAGAGATGAACAAAGGTTGGGAGGGGATAACTTTATTTTAACTCTTGGTAAAATACAACCAGTATTCTTGAACTGACAGCGTGTGGCTCATTTATTTTTACTAGTCATTATAAGAATCTTCTCACAATTGTACCATTTAACTGGACTAATTATTTCAAAGTTGGAACCTGGGATTGGCAAGTACCTTCCAAAATAAAACTAGCTTGTTAGATTTAATCATACACAAATCATTAGACAGATTTTTTGTTTGTTTAAAAGAAACCCTGTTATTACCATTGTTATCTTATTTGAGTCTTTTCTCTGCCTCTCTGTAGCTCATACTACTCAGTTTACTCAACCAGGTTGGTATTACCTGAAGACAGTCGGCCATTTAGAAAAGGGAGGAAGCTATGTAGCTCTGACTGATGGCTTAGGTAACCTTACCATCATCGTTGAAACTATGGTAATTCTTTGCTGTTTATTTGGGGGGGATTAAGTCACTTTTGTTAAACCAGCTTTTGAAGATTATACGTATAATAGGTTTACAGGATTATAACTATAAACCTACTTTTGCCCACCCTTATATATAATTCCTAGAAATAGGTAGTCTTACTCCTACCAATTTGTTTTTTTTTCAGAGTTATTTTGGCTAGTGTAGGTAATTTGTACTTCCATGAGCATTTCAGAACAGCTCCTCAATATCTATTAAAAAAAAAAAATACCCTGGTCAGATTTTGATTGAGATTGCCTTGAATCTAAAGATCAGTTTGGGAGAATTGATGTCTGAATAACATCATCTTTCAGCCCATTAACTAGGCATATCCTCAAATTTATTTAGGTTTCCTTTACATTTTTCAACAATATTTTATAGTGTTCAGTGTACAGGTCTTTCATATCTTTTATGAAACTTTTATCTAAGTATTTTACATTGTCAATGTAAACAGTATTTTTCAAAATTTCAATTCAGTTAGTAGCTAGTATATAGTAATACAAGTTTTTGTATAGTGATCTTGTTTTTTGCAACCTTGCTAAGCTTACATATAGTTCTAGTAGCTTTTTTTGTAGATTCCATTGGATTTTCTTTGTAGACGACCTGCAGATAAAAATAATTTTACATCTTCCTTTCCAGTCTGGCTATCTTTAATTTCTTATTCTTGCCTGATTGGACTGGCTAGAATCCCCAATACAATGTTGAATGGAAGTAGTGACAGCAGATATTCCTGTCTTGTCCTTGATCTCAGGAGAAAAGCATTTAGTCTTTTGCCATTAAGTATGATGTTTTCCGTGCCTATCCTTTATGAGATTGAAGTTCCCTTCTATTCCTAGCACTTTTTAAAAATCTGGAACGGATGTTGGATTTTGTCACGTGTTTTTCTGCATTTATTGAAAACATCGTATCATTTTTCTTTTTTTGGTGTTTACTAAAATAATGAGTTATATTGAATTTTAAAATTGAAATTTAATTTGAATACTATAAAATTTACCCTTTAAGTTACACGATTCAGTGGTTTTTAGTTAATTCACAGAATTTGACAACATTTTCATCACTCTGAAAAGTAACCCCATACTCATTCGCACTCGTTGGCGATCACTCACTGTTCCCTCTCCCTCACCCCCTGGCAGTCGCTACTCTCCTTTTTATCTCTGTGGATTTGCCTGTTGTTGACATTTCAAATAAATTAAATCATATAATCTGTGGATTTTTGTTTCTGGCTTCCTTCACTTAATGTTTTCATGGTTCTGTATTTGAACTTATTTATTTTTATGTCTGTATAATATTCCACTTTATGGCTATAGTACATATTGTTTATTCATTTTCTGTTGATGTATGTTGGATTGTTTCTAACTGTGGACGCTGTGAATAATGCTGAGATAATATTTGTGTATAATTGTTTTCTCTAGGCATGTGTTTTCATTTCTCTTGGGCATATGTAAGAGTGGAATTATTGGCTCAACTGGTAACTCCATATTTAGCATTTTGAAGTTTATCAATTTTATTGATCTTCTTAAGGAATGAGCTTTTGGTTTATTGATTATTCTTTTCTTGTTTTTCTGCGTTTTGCTTAGTGATTTTTCCTTTGATTTTTATTATTTTCTTCTGCTTTGTTCCTCTTTTCATACAGTCTTAGGGTAGAAGCTGAAGTCTCAAATCCTTTCTTCTTTTCTAATCTAGGTGTTCGTGCTATAAATTTTCTCCTAAGTACTACTTTAGTGCAACCCACAAACCTTGATATGTTGTTTTCATTTCCATAGAGCTCAATTTTTTTCTAATTTCCCTTTTTATTTTTTATCTTGAGTCATAGGTTATTAGGAAATTTGTTATTTTGTTTTTAAATACTTTAGAATTTTTCCAGAGGTTTGTCTGTTATTTTCTGATTTAATTCTGTTGTAGAGAAGATACTTTGTGTGACTTGAAACTTTCTGAATTTATTCAGACTTCTTTTATTGCTAAGAATATGGTATACCCTTTGTGAATGTGCACTTGAAAAATATGTGCATTCTGTTGTTGCTGGATGAGGTGGTCTATAGATGTCAATCCAGGCAAGTTACTTGGTAGCATTCAAATCTCCTGTATCCTTGTTGATTTTCTGTCTAGTTGCATATCAGTTATTGAGGATAGGGTATTGAAATCGCTTAATAATGATTATAATTTTTTTATTGTCCACATAAAAGCCATATAAGCCTGGCGCACAGTCTTATACTGCAGGTGCTCTGTGACTGTTGAATACCCTCAAATAGGGATTATGTTTCATACTTTGTTTGATTCAATCCCATAGTAGTGACTATTTTGTTAAAAAAGGATGTTGGCCATGTGAGAATTATTTGTTATATGTAAGAATTATTTGTTATATGTATTCAGCTGATCTTAGATGTGTATTTGAAGGTTATATTTAGATGATATGCCTTTTCAGTAAAAGCATTTCAAGAACTTACTTTTATTTGATGTATTTTACTTGGAAAATAATAATAACATAACAATTAACATCTGTGCTATAAAATGCCTGGAATTTAGTTGTGAATTCAAAGTTTGATTCAGTCAAAATGCCAGTGAGCTTTCCTTTGACTAGTCATGGGCAAGAACATTCAGTATAGGTTGTATTAGAAAAACTCTTTAAAAACTTGCCATAAACTCATAGCTGTCATGTAATGTATACAATTTCTGTTAATTTTGGGGCATTATATGTTTAAGATTTTTTAGAAAAATGTTGTAACTTTGCTTGTGCATGATTTGGATAATTTATGTGATTTTTAAATTTTCTCCTCAGAGCCATAAACACTCTAAGTGCATACGGCCCCTGCTTCCTTATTTCAGCGTGTCGCACCAGTTTGCTACCTTTGTTCTTCAAGGCTCTTTTGTAAGTAAATATGTAGGACTTCTGTTGTGGTTTTGAATTTGAGAGTGTGTGTATTTTATCACAGGCTAGCTGTCTTTAAATGAAGTTGTATATTACAGTTATTAAGAGCTTGCCTATGAATGGAATTCATGCAGTGGTTTCTTCTATCTGCTGACTGGTTTTAGTCAACACTGCCCAGGCCACTAGGAGTTAAACTCTTAGGCTTTGAAGAACACTTAACAAAAGTCACTCACAAGAAAGTCGTTCTTATTACTAGAAGCATCAATTATGTTGTCTAGGGAACTTTTAAAGCATTATCTTTATAGTACTCTGTACAAAAAAAAAAAAAAAAAAGACCAGATTCTAGCCATTTCTACCTATTGTTAGATTTGAATACAGAAAATACAGTGCCTTTTGTGACTACTAATCACATAAGAATTGTTTTTTAATACCAGAAAATTCTTTAAAAGCTTTCTACACAGGTATAGTAATGAGTATTTTTGAAGGCAATGCACTAAAACCATTAAACATTTGTCAAAAGTCTGTAGATTTATGGGAAACAAAATATTTGCTTGAATAATGCCTTTCTACTTTCAAAATGTTGCTATTTAAAATTTGAGGTGGGTCTTTTGGTAAATAAAAGGAGTCGTACATTGTCACAGGTTCATTCTTGGTGGTACTGATTCTGTAAATCCCCCAAAAGGTTTGATGAACCACTCAGCCGGGCTTTTTTGTGTGTTCTCTCCTCAGAGTGAAATACCGGAGCTGCAAGTGTGGTATACCAAACTTGGAAAGTCATCTGAGAGATATCTTTTTAAACAACTGGATTCTCTATGGGTAGTTTTAAAATAAATTCCTATATTCTGAGCATGGCAACAGTAAAAGGGAACAGAAATTTGATTAATGAATTAAGAATTTTTAATTTTATAATTGATTTTATGGCTGAAACATAATAGAGAGAAAGTTGTCCTCAACGATTTTTTTTAAAAAACAGAAAAACTCTTCACAGCGTTTTGTGTCCTTATTAGGTGTGTTTGGTGTTTTGGGTATTTAGTTTGTTTTGGTGAATGGCGGCCACCATCATTTAGCTGCCCCAGTCAGAAATTTAAGTCTCATTTGAAGCTGTCTTTCCCACTCACCCTTTATATCCCACCAGTGATCAAGGACAGTCGATTCTGTCGTCCACGTGTGTCTCATACTCATTCCTCATTCGGTTCCCGCTGCTACTGCTTGTTTCAGTTCCCATCAGCTCACCCGGGGATTTTGGAAACCGACTCCCATTTTTCCAGCCACCAGTCTGACTCTCTGAGGCCCCCACACACTGATGCCCGAGTGATGTGTCTAAAAGGCAGACCTGAGTCTTGTTAACCTCTTGCTCAAAGTGCCTCGGTGATTTTTCCTGTAAGTTCATCTCCCTTAGGGCAGCCCCTGACCCTCATTAGCACCTCAAGAGGGAGAAGGCTGCCTTCCTTTCTAGATGCATGTCCTGTGAAACAGGCCTCACAGGTTACACTTCCTGCGCTTTTGAGAGCATGGCATGCTAATTTAATTACTACTGTGACGTTGCCCATGCATTTTTTTTTCCCCCTTTTAGAATGCCTCTCATCCTTCAAGACTCAGCCAAACGTCACTTCCTCGGGGGCTTTCCCCACCAGCCTTAGCTGATAGCCACCTAGGAATAGGTGCTTATCTAGTCAAACACTTTCCCACTGCATGGACACCGTGAGGATTAGCATTGTGCCTCAGTTAGCCTTTTATCCCGGGTGCCTACTTTAGTGTTAAGAACGTGGTGATTACTCAAGAAATATTTCAAAGAATGGATTGGCTTAAGGAAGCACAATATTCAGCTAACTGACACAAATCTGCTACTTTTCTGGTAATTATTAATATCCCGTGAATCCACGAGTTACTCTCAATGACTGAACACTCATTGAATGTTAAATTCCAGAAAAAGAACTGTCTCCACTCTTTGTACAACAATTGCTAGAAATAGCACAATGAAATTGTTTTTCCCCATAGGAAAAGTAATATCATTTGGGGTTATTTCTGAGCCACAATATGATGTTAGAGATTTTATAGATCTGAACAAGAACTTGTTGTTAAAGCAAAGATATGATATAAACCCCTTTAGTTCAAAGTAAGAAAAAAAGCTGCTCAAATTTCATAAAACAGGCATGTATCGAATGCTGCGTTAACTCTGTGAAACAAAGCAGTGACCACAGAGGGCTGCGTTTAGCAGAGAACTGTGGTGATAGGAAGTGTTTCTCACACTCTGGGCTAAGAGCGCTTTAGAAATATTATCTCAGTTAATCATCACAACAGCCTCTGAAGTACATATATTTTTTTCTGATTTTATAGATGAGGAAATTGTGGCTTACAGAGATTAAGCCACAATTGCTAAGATCATCAATGTGATATAAACATAACTTGCTAATTGAAATATATATTGAACATACGATGAATTGGACTTTTTTTTCTTAATAATAAAAGGTTTTCCGTGACTAACACTGGAGTCAACAGTGATATTTTATGGATTTTTCCACTTTAGTAAAAAATTAGCAGAGTCCTAAAATGTAAATAAGCAGATCTTTTAGTTATGTTTATTGAATATATACAAGCTTTAAGGAGCTAACAGTCTAATGGAAGACAATAGACTAATAGAAATAGATTTTGGGATCATCTAGTCTTTTCTTTATGTAGTGAAATTCTTTTAAAAATGCTTTGTATAAAGTATAATCTTACAAAGTCTTCAAAATAATTTAAACTTTTCTTTTCCTGAGGGCCTTGATATGGAATGTGTCCTTTACAAGTGGTTAGAAAGTTCTAACAGAAATGAGATTGCCTTATCGTGAAGCTTATGTTTTAAAAAAGCTCTTTGGCCCAGATGAGCCGAGCCGAAGCCGCTGGCCTTGACCATGATGTTTTCTGTTTCAGCTCCTCAACAGCAACGGCAGTTTCACACTGGAGCTGCAGGAGGACGAGCTGTTCACGCTCACCACCCTCACCACGGGCAGCAAGGGCAGCTACCCGCCGCCTCCAAAGTCCCAGCCCTTCCCAAGCGTCTATGAGGAGGACTTCAATGTCGGTAAGTTTCCTTCCCTGCAGCCCAACTTGGTTTCCATTTTCACCAGCAGAGAGGTTCTGCCTGTCAAACCAGTGCGTGGCGGAGCGGCTGTGAAAGTACGTTCCTTTAGCTCTGAATCTCTATGTGGCCAGCCTTAACTCCAGAATTCATGATCATTCCTCTTCAGCAATTGCATGGATTAAATATATAAAGTTTGTATGTCAAACTGATCAGGTCGATGTCAAATAATGATATAAAAATTAATCTCTTTTTTAACCTAAACCCTAACCTTTGGTTATAAGTTTCATTTCCTTGTTTAAATCTTTTCAACAGTGTCTTCAGATGTACCATAAAATCTCAGAGAGAAAATATTCCTTAAGGATTTGATATTAAACAGAGGATTTCTTATGTTCTGCACAGATTACCCGTTTTTCAGTGAAGCTCCGAATTTTGCTGATCAGACGGGAGTATTTGAATATTTTATGAACATTGAAGACCCTGGAGAGCATCGCTACACGCTACGCCAAGTTCTCAATCAACGACCCATTACTTGGGCCGCTGACGCATCCAACACGATCAGTATTATCGGAGATTACAAATGGTGTGTAAAACTGATGTTCTTAATGTAAATCTGACTGAAAAAAGCCTTGTAGTCTTGCTGGGTGCCTTCTGAAACAAGGACTTCTCCACAGTCCTCCCTGTCCAAGAACCTAATAGCTGGGTGATAGTTGTTGAATAGCACGGTGGCCACAAAGTAGCAAATTGTTTGCCTGTGTCAGTTCCCTTTCCTCAGATTGTCCCAATTTAATAGTGATTATTGCAGGAGCAGATGATTGTAATATAAAAATTGAGGACTTTTGGACACACTAATAATTTTACATTTATTTACAGACTATAATTTGAGGTTTTCCCCCCTCCCTTTTGGTTTGCTGGAGAGCTGACTTGTTATCTGGTGTTGCCACCTGCTGGATCCATGGTAGAATTACACTGTTTTAGCCCTCGAGAAAATCTATGAGGTGACAGCAGACGGCAAGAGTAAAAAGTGAAATTAGCTTTTAGTTGTATAGTGAATTCAACTCTTTTTGTTAAGCCTCTGGTAAAGAGACAAGTTGTATTTATTCTTCACTTAAAATATAATGACGAGCCCTGGCTGGTGTGTCTGGGTTGGGTGGGCGTCCTCCCGCAAACTGAAACGTCGCCAGTTCGATTTGCGGGCCCGGCACATACCTGCGTCGTGGGCTTGGTCCTCAGTTGGGGCGCATACAGGAGGCAGCCAACTGATGTTTCTCACCTTGATGTTTCTTTCCCCCTCTTTCTCCTTCCCTTACCCTCTCTCTAAAAAAATAATTAAAAAACATATATACAATGACCAAACCAAAACTTCCCCTTCCCCTTTAAGTCAGTTATGGAATTCCACTATAGTGGCTATTATACCTGTTTTAGGTGTTTTTCCCCCCCCCTACTTTTTTCTTTTAGCTGAAGTAATTCCACTATGAAACATAAAACACAAATATTCCAGGTTTAGTGACACTAACTATTAATGCCAAGCAGTCATATCTGTAGTTTAGAAACTGGACAGGGAAGGGACTATAATTCTGAAAGGAACCTGAAATTATTTATCTCTGGAATACTGCAGAAAATCCTTCTCACTTCTGTTTACCTGTGGTCTGTTATAAATCACACTTCTAGTCCCAAGCTGTGATATAAGCCTTCAGGAGTTTTCATCTACCCAGAGCTCCTGGAAGCCTTGCAGCAGGTGCTGCTGAACACTGGTGTGTGTCTCCCACAACCACCTTGTGGCAGAGACGTCACCCCCTCAGCTTACAGATTGGGAGGCTGAGGCTCCGGGGTAAGATTCGCCCATGATCCCACACTTGTAAATTCCAGAGCCGGGGCGAGAGGCCTTGTGCCTCTGGTTCTGTACCCCATTCTCTTTGGACCACACCTGACAGCCTCATTTGAATCTTTGTCTTCTTCCTAAGAGCGGGAAAGGGAACACTAGTGAGCTGTTTTTGTGGTTTTGTTTCAGTGAATCTGTTCTCTGTGTGTGGCAAGGGCTGTCAGTTCTCAGAACTGGGTCTGCGGTAGAACTAACTTCCTCTCTCATACTTACGTGCAGTTAAGGACCAGCACCGTAATTTAAGTAGGTTTTACCAAAGCTACTTAAGATTTTCCATTTTGTTATTAAGCTTGGGTTGGGATCTGCGGACAATCACGAAGTTACCTTTTGTTGCACAGGTGTGAACTCTGCATCCTGTCATCAGATTTGCATAATATGATGGCCAGTTTTTGTTCTCAGCACTACTGGGAGGCAGTGGCTGTGGAGGATGAAACCACACTGTTGTTATACTTCATTCATTATCTGTAAAGTTGTGTATGAGTTCTGTTGCTGGAATTACTTATTTTGGAATGTGATGGAAAAGAAAGGAAAGAGCTCAATCTTCTCTCACGCTAACTCTAAATAGAGTAATTTTATGGTGCCTGTAGCACATGCAAACTTGTGATGAACCAGAAAAGACGTAGGGCTGTAAAGAAGGGGTGGCTCCTTAGAGGTTTCACGCCGGTGTGACGGTCTGCAGAGGGAAAGGGCCCCTCTGCTGTGCGAGGACCCACAGGCGAGGCCCAGCTTCTGTTACTGGTCTTTGATTTTCCTGTAAAGTGCCCAGCTCTGATTAGAGGATTAAATGTGAATTTCCCTTATTGTTGTTTACCTTTTGTAGGTGCTTCCTTTTGAGTATTTTTATTTACACGGGAAAATTCTGCTGTGCAAATTTTACTGGTGAGAAGAATCTCCTAGAAATGTAAATGCCACATAATTCTAGATCCAGTTTTCCCCCCCATTTCCAATATATTTTGGGCCTTTCTTTGTTTTTATTTTAGATGAATTGCTTGCTTTATTTCTTGGTTGTGTTCAGGCTTGCTTTCTCATTCCCAGTTAAATTTTCCGTGGGAGGTGAGTTATTTTCAGAGCTCATGTCAGCTTAAGGTGGCTCTGTCATGGCGTAAGGTACCTGTAGCTTTTACAAAAGGAAGCCCGGAGGACAGCTCGTTGTCCAAGGCCTGGTGGTTCCTGGTTGGCTGACTCTTCCCCCTTTGATAGACTCCTGTGCGTTAGTGACCCCAGAACGAGGGTTTTACTGCCTCTGTAGCAAGAGAGGTGCTCTCCAAGGGAAAACAGTTCCCAAGCTGGAATTCCCGGACCAGCAGCGTCAGCATAACCTGGGAATCTGTTAGACGGCAGACTCAAGGGGCCTGCGCTCGACCTCCTGGATTCCACAAGCCTTCCAGGTGACGGCAGCACTGTCCAAGTTTGAGCACCCCTGCTGTAGAGTCAACACAGAGTTGGTGCTGTGTTTGTGGAGAAATAATTTTAGATCTTCCATCTGGAGTTTGGGGTCTCCTTAGGGTTCAATGTGGAACTTAGCCCCGAAGTCACTTATTTTCTCCCAGAGACCCCTGCCATCGCCTTCGCTGCTTGTCTTTGCTGATGGAAATGTAATAGACCCTTTTAATCAGAATTGTGTGGAAACTTACCTTTTATATATTCCTAGAAAAAAATGGCTTTTTAAATATATATATCTTCTTAGGATAAGAAGCTATGTGACTGTAGAGAAACAAGAAATACTTGTACATTCTTAAGAACCTTAAAATCAGGAACTACTGTTTTTCAGTAAGTCATTGAAAGTGGCAGTGAAATGACTTGACTTGAGTCATGTAAAACTTTAAACCATCATCAGTGAAGATTCTTGAAGCCCATTCCTGCTACAAGCACAGACCTAGCAAATCACATGCTCGCCTCACTTAGAAGTTTGGAAGCATGTTGGCTCTGAAACGATGATTTGTGCTGCAGTCGGAGTGGCATAATTAAAAGCACTAATCACCAGCTTCATTCTGCAGGTCCAATATGACTATCAAGTGTGATGTTTACCTAGAGACCCCTTACAAGGGAGGCGTGTTCATTGCCGGAAGAGTAAATAAAGGTGGTATCTTCATTAGAAGCGCCAGAGGAATTTTCTTCTGGATTTTTGCAAATGGAACCTACAGAGTTACAGGGGATCTGGGTAAGTGACTTCTTCTATCACACCTGAGAGAGAGGTAACTGAGTTAATGAGAAAATTGTACAGAGCTTTTTTGGGTATTACAGAGTTGAGTTGGCTGTCAGGGTAGGATTTGCATAGACTGGGATGAGGGTAGCAGAAGGGAGAGAATGCTCTGGAAACATTGTAAATAAAAACAAAATTATAAGAATGTTGCCACCGTGCTTACGGAAATATAAGAAGAGGTATTGATATGCTTCAAATGGAGTAATCCTATTTCCTAATTTAGTTGATAATTTGAAAACAACTGAACTTTTCTCATTCATCTGAACAGCCCTTGTTCTATGTAGAATAGCGTTTTATCCACAATAGGCACTTAGACTATGTTCAAGTTGCATTCCATCCAATTCCCTGGTTTTGGTATACACAACTGCTCTGTTGAAACTAGACCTTGTTGGTGGTGACTCTTCTTGAGTCCCAGTCTCTTGATTTTCCTCTTGCATTAATAGAAAAATGCTTCCTCCCATAATATTCTGCTCTTGGCCTCTCCTCAGGTGAAAAGAGTTCCATAAATAAAATAAAAATAAATGAGGAAGTGGGTAGTAAGGATATTAGAGTTGAAATTGTATAGTCATAGCATGACTGATCTAGAAGGTACCTTACATTTTCCAATCCAAAACAGAGAGCAAGAAAGGTTAATTTATTTGCCCAAGGTCTCAAAATGAGTTCGTGGCAGAATTAGAACTAAGAACTTAAATCTGTGTCTTTGGTCCCCACTGCTCTGTGTTTAAACTGCCCCCTCAGCATCTCGTCCTCGTTTTTTCCCAGGCACTCAAATATAATACATCCCCGGATCAACTCATTATTTTCTTTCTTTAATTCTCAGTGAAGGCTCTCACCATGTAACCAATTACACCAGCTAGAACTCTCATGGGAGTCTTGGAATACTCCTTCTTATCCTCTATATTCAGTTTTAGCAGGTGAAAGTACATCCTGGAACTACAGAAGCCAGTACATTACACTGTAGTTGGTTTGTAAGTTTATTTCACTGGTTCTCTGGTGAGCTCACATATATGGCCCAGTGTAGGATCTCAGTATATGCTTGTTGAATGCATACCTGAATGAAGGATGTTTTGTTTTAAATCAGTTGTAGGACCTTATTAAGGTTGATTTTACAACCTCCACATGCCACCTGAGAGCCCCCACTGAGTTACGTGATTCTGTGATGTAGATAATCTTCTTGTGTTACAGCTGGATGGATGTTATATGCTTTCGGACAAGTTGAAATCACAGCACAACAATGGTATACACTCACTTTAAATATTAAGGTAAGTATTGCTGATCAGAATACTGGAGGTAAGATGTTCTTTTCTTGTCCCTTTCTAGCACTTCCTATTAACAAATGAGAGGGAGAAACTGTGGTAAATAATGGAAATGGACAGAGAACCTGCCGTGATACCAGCAAACCGCTGCTCCCTAGAATGATAGTGTGTGTCAGGGTCAACCCACAGGAGAGCCGTCAGCTGTGGACCTTAGCACCCCAACAACTGAACTGTCTTTTCAAGTGTGCTTGAACAAAGATTAAAATTGGAGCTTATAGGTATAAGCAAAGTCACAAATTTATTTTTGATGGTTGAATATAATTTGGTTTTCGATTATAAGCACAATGTTTTAGAAGTTGGTTTCCATGAATATGTTTGTTAGAGAAGATACTAGGTTAACTGTAGTACCATGGAATCTAAAAATATTTGTCAGAATAACTACTTGATCATGAGTTACTGATCGACATGCTTCTAAAGGATCCTATGTGGAGTAATTCTTCTGTATAATATACTGATCTGTCAAGATAGGCATAATTTTGTTCAGGTTATACTAGAGCTTGAAAATGGAATTCAAATAACTTTTTGAACTTCTTCTCTTCCCTTTTGGGTGTTCTCTACCCAACCACCAAAAGTGACAATACTAATTTTCCAGGCAGTATCAGTATGTATTGACCATGTGGTTTGGGTGTAGCACAGTTTATTTCACTATACCACACTTGAAGGGCACAACTTTGTTCCCAGTTCTTCCCTTTAGGGTAAACTGAGGAAGTAAGGGATGACTTTACTTGCAGTTGGGGGAGGATCTCTTATGTGCCTCTTGGATACACATGTTTTGTTATTTGCTTAGGAAGATGTGTAGAAATGGGATTGCATTTTAAATTGTAATAGATACTGGCCTGAATTCATTCAGACATGCATTCAACAAGCATATACTGAGATCCTACACTGGGCCATATATGTGAGCTCACCAGAGAACCAGTGAAATAAACTTACAAACCAACTACAGTGTAATGCACTGGCTTCTATAGTTCCGGGATGTACTTTCACCTGCTAAAACTGAACATAGAGGATAAGAAGGAGTATTCCAAGACTCCCATGAGAGTTCTAGCTGGTGTAATTGGTTACATGGTGAGAGCCTTCACTGAGAATTAAAAAGAAAGAAAAAAATAGATATTGCTAGCCAAACTGGATCGATTTTTATAGCAGTTATAATAATATTTGATACTATTAAGTTTTAAAGATTATTTTCAAACTAGTAGACATGATTTGTATTACCTTGATAATTAGGGAGATTGTATATTTTATATTTATTGACCATTTTTATTTTCTCTCCTCTGAAGTTACCCATTGAATTCTCTCATTATTCCCCTGTTGTGTTGTCTTTTTCTGATGGATCTGTATGAATTTATTATATATTCTGGGTAGTAACACATTGTCTGTATATGGGTTACAAATATTTTTTCTGTTCTCATGATTTGTATATTAATTTTTCTTATGGTATGTTTCATGAATATAAATGTAAATATAAAATTTTGGTGTTATCAAATATTTCACTTTTATTTCATTGTTTTTATGCTTTATATTTTGTTTAAGAAAGCCTTCCCTTTTCTTTAGGTTAGGAAAATTTTTCCCCCAAAACTAAACTAAGTTTAGGATTTTTTTATATTTAAATCTTTGATCCATCTGGGATTGATTTGTGGATTGTAAGGGGAAGAGCTTGATACCAATCTTTTTAAACAAATGGATAGCTGTCATCATTTACTGTATAGACAGACTGTCCTTTTGCTTATGATTTTTAAGGCTATTTTTTTTGATGTAAAACCATCATGTATGCATAGGCTTGTTTCTGAACATTTCTTTGTTCTTCATTTTGCTCTGTTTGCCCATTATCATCCAGTATCGCATTTTAAATCGCGTAGACGGTCTAAACCCTTTGATCACGTGGTTTACTCCCGCCCTCCTTCAGAACTCTTCCCCGACCACCGTGTATGAAATAGCATGCCCCCTTCCCTTGCTTTGTTTTTCTCCAGAGCGCTCATGACCCCCGGCAGCGTACATATTCTGTGGACAGTGTATGTGTGTGAGCCCCACTGCTTCGCTCGGACGCAGCCCCTGTAATGACTGGCCTCTCTCTGTTGCGGTCTCGGCTGGCTCTCCAGCACCTTGGAGAGCGCCTGGCTTACACATGGTCAGAGTGACTGAGGGGCTTTCCAGTGGGACTTGTCCTGCATTATTTCTTTTTCAAGTCATCACATTGCTTTATTTACAGAGACTCATTGGCATTTTTAAATCACTTTTTATCGTTGCTCTGTTACACTTGTCCCAGTTTTTTCCCCCCTTTGCCCTCCTCCACCCATCCCATCCTCCACAGTCAATTCCCTCACCGTTGTCCATGTCCATGGGTCGTTCATTTGCGCTCCTTTTCCAGTCCCTTCCCCTTCCTTCCGCCACTATCCTCCTCCCTCCTCCCCTCTGGTCGCTGTCAGTCTGCTCCATGTTTCCGTGCCTGTGGTTGTATTTTGTTCGTTAGTTTATTTTGTTCACTAGATTCCTCTTATAGGTGAGATCATATGGTATTTGTCTTTCACCAACTGGCTTATTTCACTCAGCATAATATTCTCTAGTTCCATCCATGCTGTCGCAAAAGGTAGGAGCTCCTTCTTTCTTTCTGCTGCATAGTATTCCCTTGTGTAAATGTACCGCAGCTTTTTGATCCACTCATTTACTGGTGGGCACTTAGGCTGCTTCCAGCACTTGGCTATTGTATATAGTGCTGCTATGAACATAGGGGTGCCTAGGTTCTTTTGAACTGGTGATTCCGGATTCTTGGGGCATACTCTCAGCAGTGGAATCACTGGGTCAAAAGGCAGTTCCATTTTTAGTTTTCTGAGGAAATTCCATACTGTTTTCCACAGTGGCTGCACCAGTCTGCATTCCCACAAACAGTGAACTAGAGTTTCCTTTTCTGCACAACCTCACCAGTAGTTGTTTGCTGATTTACTCATGATACCTATTCGGACAGGCATGAGGTAATATTGCATTGTGGTTTTAATTTGCATCTCTCTGATGACTAGTTCAAAATTATGCACTCTTCTAGTATATGTCCTCTTCTATTTGAATTTTTAAATAATCTTTTACATTCTATGAAAAAGACTGCTAGTATTACACTGAATTTATACATCAATTTTGGCAAAAATAACTTTTTTTAAAGAATATCATTCATCAAGAACGTGGGAGCAAGAATGTGCTGCTTCTCCCCATTTATTAAGACCTCCCAACATGTCCTTCAGTTTTATTTTTGTATCACACATTTCTTGTTAGGCCTATTTTTCATAGTTTTATGAAGTTTTTGAATTTATGAGGGGGCTTAAAAATAAGTTTTCTTAATATTTTCAGGTACTTTGCATGAATGGTTAAAAAAAGATCAAAAGGGCTCCTCAAAAGCGCTGCCTCCGGCCATACTCCCGCATCTCTCCCTCCTCGTCCCGTTCTGTCTTCTCTCCCTCAGCTACAGCCACTCTGCACAATCGTAGCTGTTTCTGCTGGCATCTCTTTAATACAGTGTGATTATTGCTTATAGAAATTAGCTCTCATCTTGGTATTGGATGGATGGGGATTTCGCTGACGTAGCCCCCACCCCCCTCCACCAGCGCCATTGTGGTTCGTTCTGTGAGCTGTGGCCATCCTGCTCCTCCTTCGCATCTCAACTGTGCAGACGTTCTCTGACAGTCCTCCAGCTCTCCAGACTAAAGTAGTCTCTTCGGTACCCACAGCACATCAACCTGTTTTAATTCTTCACATGCCATTGATGGCTTAGCTCTTCCTGTGTGTGTGTGTCCTTCCCCTAGAACGTAAGCTCCATAAGAGCAGGGACCATGTCTTTCTTGTGCATCCTGAATGCATTAAACAGCATTTGGCATGTAAATATTTGCTGCCTAAATGAAAACAATAAAGCAAAACATCTAGGATGTTGTTTCCCAAATTTCAGCCAATATGAGGATTTTCTCATTTTAATGTTGGCCATTTTTGATTTCTTCTCAGCACATATCTGGCACTTCACTCTAAGAATTGTTGTGTAGTATTTAGGACAAGGGACTTTCAGGTCTATTATGTTCATTTTCAAGTATTTCATGTTGCTCATCTTCTGTTTTCCCATCCATAATGTAATGAACACACACCCTTCTTAATGAAGATTGAATGGGACGATATATGTGAAAATTTGGTGCAGCACCTGACGTGTGGGAAACACTTAATGAATCAAGTTAATATTCTTAGGAGTAGGTAGGTGTGCGTGGAACTAGTTGGTCCAGTATTCCTATTACCTTGCTGATAGGTACTGAGACTTCCAGCAAGTTATTTCAGCTGTTTGAGCTTCTGTGCTTTTATCTGTAAAGTGGAGATAACTTCTGTAAGGTTGCTTTAGGGCTAAATGCTTTTTGTTCTTTTGTTCACCACATTTTTATGAAGCATTTACTGCATGCACTCTTCTCGGGCTACGGCAGTGAACAAGACACGAAAAGGTCCTGCTCCCTTACAGCCTGCGTTCTTCTGGGACGGGGTCTGGCAGACTTTTCTGCACAGGGCCAGCTAGAAAACATTTTACACTTTGTCAGCCTATAGCCTGTGTTGCAACTACTCAGCTCTGTCTTTGTAATGAGCCATAGACAATAGGTAAAGGAATGGTGTAGCTGTGTTCCAGCACAGTTTAGTTATAAAAATAGGTGACTCACCTGATGGCCAGCGTTGACTGACTCCTGTTCTTAAGACGATAAACTTGTAGCTAAATCAATAAGTAATACAATGGAGGAAAACAGGGAATGAGATAAAGTAGCTCCCCTGCCTGGATTTTCTGGATAGAGAGGTCAGTCAAGGCCTCTTGGAGTGGGTGATGTTTGAGCTGAGGGTGCTGCTGGGACTGGCCTTGTGTGAGGAGCAGCCAGGAGGCCAGGAGGGCTGACACCTGGGGAGTGAGCGGGGGAGGCATGGGAAGAGGAGATGAGGTGCCATTAGGTTTTGTGCTTAATATGACTTGTATATGGGAGTCCCTTGGCTCAATGTTCATATGCACTGCTCCCTGAGAGGCAGAAGGTGCCCATTCAGTAACACGGCCAGAGCCGAGGGCAGCCGTGCATGTGTGTGTAGTGATGGGGATGTATGTGGACGACTAGGATTCAGTTCCTAGCCCCGCTGGTAAATCCGTGACTTTGATTTTTAATCTTAAGTCTCAATATTTCCATCTGTGAAATGAAATAGCTAAAGTCCATTGCATGATACAACTTAAAAACAGATTTTACTTTGGTGCTTGGCCTCGTGCTTTCGCTCTTTAGCTGTCCATCTATTAAAACGAGCTAGTCTGAAGTGTTCAGTTGTAATTGCACGCTGTGAATATGTGCTCATAAATGTGCTATAATCATGATAATAAGAGCAAACTGGCATTTATTCAGTGTGCTCCAGGCACTTAGCTGAGTAGGAATGGCAGGCTATGAAGGGGCGGACTTCATCTTTCTCCATCAGTGAGCAGTTAGTCATTTCTGTGGAGACTCCCCCTCTTTCCTCCTCCCCGCCCCCATCATCACTGAGGGTCCCTATTTTTCTAACGTAAGGAGGGCCCTGGATTTTCTGATATGGGTGACTTTAAAGTGATATTCTGTGCATGGGGATAAAAAGGACTTCAATAAATGGACGTTTTGGCTCCAGCGGTCCTGTCTGAAGAGCTCGTTGGGGGCCGTTAGTCATCACCTGTGCATGCGCAACCACTTGTAAGTGACAGATGTTTTTTATTTCCGTGGGCTCTTGTCTAAAATTTAATGATGATCTTATAAAAACTTGCACATTTCTGTTGGTTTTACAACATTTTGGTGGAGTCCAAGGAAATATTGAGATATTCCTGTGCCTTGGAAGCTTATTGACATAGGTAGATAAGAATTTCCTCCGAGAAAAATTGTTCCTATATTTCAAACTTTTGTTCCAACTCTTGGAACTGTTTTCCTGTGAGATCCTTAAGTGAGAAGGATCCTTGCTCCACCTAGTCGGTGGACCACATGTTATTAAGAAAAAGTCTTCAGAGAATCATTTTCGTGTGTCTCCAAGGGTGCCTTTCTCTCTCCCCCAGGGTCAGTTCGCCTCGGGCCTGCTGGATGGCAAGCCTCTCTGGACAGACATCCAGGTGACTTTCCCGAAGAATGGCTGGGCTGCGATCGGAACTCACGCCTTTGAATTTGCACAGTTTGACAACTTTCATGTGGAAGCAACACCCTAATATTCACTGAGTGCTAGAGATCACTCTTCAGATTTTTGTTTTCCTTTCTTTTTGGTTTTGGTTCTGGTTCAGAACCAGTTCTTGTTTTAATGGATTGATGTATGAGCCTTTGGAGGCTAAAAATAATGAAGAGTAAATGAGAAAAGATATTTCTGCTTGATCCTGTGGAAAGTTTTTTGTTTTTGTTTTTTTAAACTAATTCCAAGGGGAAGCAGATGAATCTTTAACATTACCTGGAATGCACTCTACTATTCCAATGGTACAGTGGTCTCAGCGGCAGGACTGGTTTGGGTGGTCCAGACCTTGGAGCCTCGGTGTTGATGCTGAGATTGCTTTCTTCATCTTGTTTGTAAAGTGATTGTGCAAGGTGGGAATAACTTGATTGTCACAGAGATGTATTTATTAATGCCGATATGTGTCTAAGTATGTGGATGTCCTTGTCTAAAGATAATGCTACCACACTAAGAAGCTGAACAACACTGGAAATGCTGCTTTTTGAAAACCACTTCAACCTGTTATTCAAAAACGACATTCTGAAAAGTATTTTTTTCTTTTCCTTTTTATGATGATGCTTTAGAATTAATTATAGATGTTTTGAATGGGATAATTAAAAAAAGTCTCATTAATAAACTACCTCTAAAGCTATTTCTGCAATAATAAATACTAGCAGATTAATTGGGTATCTGTGTTTATTGTTTTTTGTTTTAATTCTTTCAGCTCCAACTTTAGCCCTATAACTCTGTAACCCTCTGTTATAATGTTTCCCAGGTGGCTGGGAGGAGGAAGAAAATGCTATGTAGCCAATGCTGTAAGTGGGTCTAAAGATAAAATTGAAGCAAATTTTTTTGTCTCATTTCATTGTGCTTTTCCTGGTCTGCCTGCTCATGTGTCACTGGTAAGAGACTAAAAAGAGCTAATGAATTCTTTTATCTGCTTGTATGCAGAAGAAAGGGAACATTTAGCTATTTGCTAGTTCATAGAATTGGATCATCCTCTAATATTTTCTGTGGTTAGATGCATTTATTTCATTAAACTCTCATTGTATTTATATTTAAGTATGGGTGAGCATATTTGTCATGCAGTATAATTTATATTTAAAAATTAGTGTACCTCCTAAAAACAACTCAGTTATTCATGTGGATAAAGTAACTCCTGGAATTCTTTATAATGAAAGTTTAAAGCTTCAATGAACTAACTCTTCAATTTTGGAATTCGTAGTGGTTTAATATAGGCTCAACTGACATGAAATTTTGTACCACTATTAAACACAAGAAGCTAAGTATTAGAATAAATCAGATTACAGAGACAATTTTTAAATTAAAATAAAATCTAAGTGATTTACAGTTTGGTCCCTACATATATTTAAAAAATAAACTATGCTGAGATATAATTTACATACAATAAAGTAGGTGTTCCCATTTTTAACTTTATAGTTCGTCAGTCTTGATAAAAGGATACATCCATGTAACCAACGCCCCAGACAGAGTATCAAACATTTTCATCTTGGAAAGGTCTCTTGTACACCTGTGCCGTCAGTTCCTCTCACTTCCCCACTCAGGCAACCATTGATCTCATTTCTTTCACTACTGATAAGTTTACATTGTCTCAAAACACTTTGAAAGTGGCATCATGTGCTATGTACCCTGTTGTGCATGGCTTATTTCATTCAGCATAATCCGTTTTGGATTTGATTATGTTGCTGTGTATGTCAGTGGTTTGCTCCTTGTTGCAAAGAGTGCCCTCTTGTATGGCTGTAGCACAGTTTGTCTCCCCTGTTCTTGGTGTTACAGATAAAGCTGTTAGGAACATTCATGTACAAGTCTGTGTGTGGACATGTGTTTGCACTTTTTTTTTCTGGGTAAATTCCAAATAGTGAAATCGCTGGATCTTTTGGGAAGTGTATGTTTAACTTTATAAGAAATTGGCAAACTGTTTTCCAAAAGATTGTATGATTTTACACCCCATCAGCGATGTTTGAGAGTTTCAGTTGCCCCGCATTCTTGTCAATGCTTCAGATTGTTGTTCTTTATAATTTAACCCTTTCTTGTGGGTGTGTAGTAGGTATTTTAGAAGTTGAGCATCTTTTTATGGGTTTATTTGTCATTCATATATTTTCTTTTGTGAAATCACTGTTCAAATATTTTGGTCATTTTAAAAATTGTGTTTTCTGCCTTATTGAGTTGTAAGAGTTCTTTAAATATTCCAGATGCAAGTTTCTTTTCTTTTTTTAAAAAAATATCAGGTATATGTTCTATGAATTGTTTTTTCCAAGTCTGTATCTTTACAAGAGTATAAAACTTTAATTTGGAAGTCTGATTTATCACTTTTTCCTTTATGGTAGGTGTTTTCTTGTGTTCTAAAAAATCTTTGTCTATCCTAAGTTTACAAGGATTTTTCCCCTATGCTTTCTTTGAGAGTGTTATATTTTTAGCTTTTACATTCAGGTCTGTGATCCGTTTTTGCACTAATTTTTGCATATAATGAGAGGTTTTAGGTTCATTTTTCCCTTTATTGGACATTCAATTTTTCCAGCATCTTTTATTGAAAAGACCATTCAGATGTGCACATCCAGAAATAAACTCTTTATTCTGTTCTATGGATCTATATATCCTTAGGCAAATACCACACTGTCTTCATTATTGTAGCTCTATAATAAAATTTGAACTCAACCTAAGTCCTCCAACTCTGTTCTTCAAAACTGTTAGGATTAACTTAGGCCCTTTTACATTTTCATATAAACTTTAGGCATGCCTTATGTTCTTCTGCAGAGTTTTCTGGAATTTTGATTGTATTACAATGAAATTATAGATCATTTTAGGGAGAATAAATATCTTAATAATATTGGCCCTTCAATCTATGAGCTTGTTAAATTTCCACATTTTTTGGCTTTCCATAATTTCTCTCTGCAACTTCTGTAGCTTTTTGTGTGCAAGTTCTACATACATATTATTAAATGTATCCTTAAATTTTTATATGTTCTTTCAATGCTATTGTAAATGGTGTTTTTAAATTTTTTTCTCAGTTATTTGTTGTGCATATATCAAAATACAGTTGCTACTCTTATCTTTACCTGCAATCCTACAACACTGCTAAATTCACTTAGTTTTACCAAGCCCTCCTTTTTGTAAATTCTTTCAGAGTTCTACATATAAAGTAATTTCATCTGTAGATACAGATAGCTTTACTCATTCCTTTGCTCTATGTGTGCTTTATTTCTAGTGGTGCATTAGTGCACTAGTTAGAACCCAGTACACTGTGGGGAAGAAGTGGCTAGAGCAGAGGTCCTCGCCTTGTCCCTGATCTCAGGAGCCAAATGTCTTCCGCCATTAAGTGTGGTGGTAGCTGTAAAGGGGGGTGTGTGTGTGTGTTTAACAGATTCCCTTTATCTATTATAACTATATATTAACTATAGAATATTTATACATTACATATTAATCAGAGTCAGCACTTAGAGAAACAATGTCAAAAGAATGGTGGGATGGGTTACAACTCCCCACTATTACAAAATGTCTACAGGACCCATCTTCAGTGTCACAAAACAATTCAAAGAAGAGGGATTGGGGGCTGATGTGGCCAATTTGTGCTTTTAATCTTTATTAGTATAGTGAGAGTTTTGTCCATTTTATTTATTTTTCAAAGAACCAGCTTTGGTTTCCTAGGTTTTTTATTTTTCTATTGTTTCTTTGTTTTCTATTTCATCAGTTGCTGCTTGGGTCTCTATTTTCCTTCTACTTCAGGTTTAATTTGCTGCTCCTCCTTCCCCCCTCTTCCGTCTCATCCTTCTCCACCTCCTCCTCCTCGTTGCTCCTTTCTCTCCTATTTTTTCCTCTTCCTCTCCTTCTCCCTCTCCCCTTCCTTTTTCACCTTCTTGCTTCTTTTTCCCTTTCTCTTTCCTTCTCCAATAAAATTGAACTTGATGCTCCAAAGAACTGATGATTGTTACTCAACTACGAAAAATGCAAATGCTTTGAGGGATTATGGGGGACTGTTGATCAAGACATTTGCAGTGATTTAGTCCCAACATAAGTGACTTAAAGATTACACTGAAAATACAGGTTACTACTTTCTGCATTGGCTCAACAGAGTTCACTGATAAATGCTTTTGCATTGTGTGGCGTGTATTTAACAAAATATGGGGAGTGTTTTTAAGCCCATATTAAAGGTTTTATATGCAAGGTGGTACTGTGTGCTCTGGGAATCATTGTGGACTTTGGCATCTGCGGTTTTGCTGCAGTGGATTTGCTGCTTCGGTAACAGATGGGCTGCCAGCCACTCCACTGGAAGACCCTGATGGGCACAGGCAGAGGGTGTAAGTTCCTGTAAGTAAACGATACTAAAACGTGTGTTGATGGCTCTTCAGTACGGGGGACACAATGGCATCCTCCCAGGTGGGCTCGCCCAGTTCCTGGCCGTGGATGTCCGCAGGGTCTCTCCGCTGCTCATAATACTGTAAGATGGGGATGGAAGTAGGGTCGGGTTGTTTACAAATGGGAGGATTCAGGGGGTCTCTACCTCTTGCTCTTCCTAATGGCTTTGGAGACTCTAGATACATACTTGGCTACTCACTAGGTGTAACTGGTAACAATCCCAAACAGTTTGAGAATTTACTGCAAGACTGAGTGGATTGAAGTGCTGTTTTTCAGGTACAGCCTCCCTCTGAGCCAAGAGCCTCCGTAGGTCTTTTCCCACACACCCTCTGTGGCAGATTCACACAGACCATGGTTACTTATGCAAGTACTTAAGGCTTATGAATGGAACGGAGGCACTGAGAATTTTGTGTGTTAACCTGACTAGGCCATGGTACCCAGATAATTTGGTTAAACGTTATTCTAGATGTATCTGTGAAGGTATATTTTTTAAAGAATAGATTAACATTTAAATCAGGAAACTTTATGTAAAGCAGATTACCTTCCCTAATGTGGATAGGCCTCATCCAATCAGATAAAGGAGCTTAAGTAAAAACAAAGAAACAAAAGAAACAAAATTGACTTTCCTGGAAGAAGAAGGGATTGGGCTAGTGGACTGCCTTTGGACTCAAACAGCAACTCTTGCCTGGGTCTCCAGCTGCCAGCCTGTGCAACAGATTTGAACTTGCTAAGCCTCCGCAGTTGCGTGAGCCAATCCCTTGAAATAAATCTCTCTCTCTACTTGTGTACATTCTGGTGGTCCTGTTTCCCTGGAGAAACCTGACTAACACAGATGCCTTTATCCTAGAAGTGCATTTTGGAATTCCTAAATGAAAGTAGATAAAAATCTTCTATTTGGAGTATTGCATTACATTTTCTAATAAAAATGTAACTTAGAACATGGGATTTTGAACTGTTTTTTCATAGAGGATAGGAGAGTGCATGGGAAGTCTTCAATGATCATAAACATTTGTGATGTAGTGTTTATGATGTAGCAGACACCGTGTTAAGAATGTCAAACGCAAAGCTTACAATCAGTCTGTGGTGACTCTCCCTGCCTAGTGTAAAGGGTACAAGGACCATTAATTTAATCCTCTAAAGAGTGTGCATCTGGCTGGCTGGGTTATGGTGATGTGAAAGTAAAAAGTTTGTTTAAAAAATTGACTTCTGAAAATCCCTCTTTTGCATGGTTCAGTAGCACTTAACTTCCCACGCATTCCATTTTTTATTGCCGTTCATGAGGGGGAAGAGGGCCTGACCTTTCCCATTTAAGAAGATACGCTGGAAAGACCAATGTACGTGTCATTCACTGAAATTTAGTAAAATTCTAGCCAGAGTCACAGGAGAAACTGGGCAATGAGGTTTTTTAGCTGGGCTCCTGGATACTTGAAATAAAATTGGGATTAAGTTACTAAGGAAGAAGGGAACAGTGACTATTGGAAGAGGCAACAGCCTCTGCCACATTAAAAAATTTTTTTTAAATTATTAAATAAGTTAATCTTAGAATTAAAAATTAAAAGTTTTAAATTATTTAAAATCTCAATCTGTGGGAAGGTGTTTGGCTTAGTTATTTCAATAGTATTCTATTAAAGTTGGCAGATCTGAATCATCATGGTTTCTAGGGAAAGAAACAAGAAACAGAAACCCCCTCCCCCCGCACATACACACAGCATTACTGGAAAATGTTAGAGCTGGAGGCTCCTTGGGCGTAATCTGGTAGAAGGAGAAACTAACCACACAGAGGTGCAGTGACTTCAGTAGATGTTATAATGCCCTGGGAAGGCTTCTTGGGAGCAGGAAGCCCATCATCTCAGCCTGTGTCTATACG